CATTTTTATAGATAAGCAAACCACCTCATATAGCTTAATATTGAATAAAGTTTAAAACACTAAAAAAAATTGTTTTATTACGCTGCCTCCACGCATGCTATTGACATTTACTGGCAGCATGTGTCAGCAATTTACCAGTTCGAAAATTATGAGTGTTATAACGTGAATGAATTGAGTTTTTTGAACTGGCAGGTGTTTCCGCCCATCATATGGCGCATCAAACTAAAAAGTTAAAAATAAACATAGTTTTCAAAAACTAAAAAAATACGCTTTTAAATAAGGTTTGTGCCACACTTCTTGCTATTGCAATAATACCAAGTCTTTTTCGGTCAATATTACTGTGAGTTTATATTAAGAATTATTTTTTACTTTATTTTTAATAGTGTTTTTATGCTATATTTATTAAATTAATTTTCAATATATCATTATGTGTTAATAGTTAAGAGATGAAGTGCGTTTGCGTACAGAACTGATGATATTTTTATCTTTTTCATTTTAGATGTCTAAAGCTCCTGCTGTTGGTATTGATTTGGGTACTACCTATTCCTGTGTGGGTGTATTCCAACATGGCAAGGTTGAAATTATTGCCAATGACCAGGGTAATCGCACCACCCCATCATATGTTGCCTTCACCGAGACAGAGCGTCTGATTGGCGACGCTGCCAAGAATCAGGTTGCCATGAATCCCACAAACACCATTTTCGATGCCAAACGTTTGATCGGTCGTAAATTCGATGATGCTAACGTGCAATCAGATATGAAACACTGGCCTTTTGAAGTGGTCAATGTTGACGGCAAACCAAAGATCGGTGTCTCCTACAAGGATGAGAAAAAGACTTTCTTCCCTGAAGAAATCTCATCGATGGTGTTGACCAAGATGAAGGAAACCGCTGAGGCTTATTTGGGCAAGACAGTTACTAATGCTGTTATCACCGTGCCTGCTTACTTCAACGATTCTCAACGTCAAGCCACCAAAGACGCCGGTACCATTGCTGGTTTGAACGTATTGCGTATTATTAACGAGCCAACTGCAGCTGCAATTGCTTACGGTTTGGACAAGAAGGCTGTTGGTGAACGCAATGTGTTGATTTTCGATTTGGGTGGTGGTACTTTCGATGTGTCCATTCTCTCAATCGATGATGGTATCTTTGAGGTTAAGTCAACCGCTGGTGACACACACTTGGGTGGTGAAGATTTCGATAATCGTCTCGTCACCCACTTCGTTCAGGAATTCAAGCGCAAGCATAAGAAGGATCTTACCACCAATAAGCGAGCTCTACGTCGTCTACGCACCGCATGCGAACGTGCAAAGCGAACGCTATCTTCCTCTACTCAGGCCAGCATTGAAATTGACTCTTTGTTCGAAGGTGTCGATTTTTACACCTCCATCACTCGTGCCCGTTTCGAGGAATTGAACGCCGACTTGTTCCGTAGCACCATGGACCCCGTAGAGAAAGCATTGCGTGATGCCAAATTGGACAAGTCTGCTATTCACGATATTGTATTGGTTGGTGGTTCGACCCGTATTCCCAAGGTGCAGCGTTTGTTGCAAGATTTGTTCAACGGCAAAGAGTTGAACAAGTCGATCAACCCCGATGAGGCTGTTGCTTACGGTGCTGCCGTACAAGCTGCTATCCTGCATGGTGACAAGTCACAAGAAGTGCAAGATCTGTTGCTGCTCGATGTTACTCCTCTATCGTTAGGTATTGAAACAGCTGGCGGCGTGATGAGCGTGTTGATCAAGCGTAACACAACCATTCCAACCAAGCAGACCCAAACATTCACCACTTACTCTGACAATCAACCTGGTGTGTTGATTCAAGTTTATGAAGGTGAACGTGCCATGACAAAGGATAACAATTTGCTGGGCAAATTTGAGCTTTCTGGAATTCCACCAGCACCACGCGGTGTCCCACAAATTGAAGTGACCTTTGATATTGATGCCAACGGCATTTTGAACGTAACTGCTTTGGAACGTTCCACTAACAAGGAGAACAAAATTACCATCACTAACGACAAGGGTCGTTTGTCGAAGGAGGACATTGAGCGTATGGTGAACGAAGCTGAGAAATACCGTACCGAAGATGAGAAGCAAAAGGAAACCATTGCTGCCAAAAACTCCCTGGAATCTTACTGCTTCAACATGAAGGCCACTTTAGATGAAGAGAACATGAAAACCAAGATCTCCGAATCGGATCGCACTACCATTTTGGATAAGTGCAACGAAACCATCAAGTGGTTAGATGCCAACCAACTCGCTGAGAAAGAGGAATATGAGCACCGTCAAAAGGAATTGGAATCTGTATGCAATCCGATCATCACCAAGTTGTATCAGGGAGCCGGTGGTGCTCCAGGAGGCATGCCCGGTGGTATGCCTGGTGGCTTCCCAGGAGCTGGTGGTGCTCCTGGTGCTGGTGGCGCTGGAGCAGGTGCTGGACCAACCATCGAGGAAGTTGACTAAACAATTAGTCTAAACAATATTATGCAAACACAAAAATATATGATCAACAATTCTAAATAAAGCGAATGTTTCAATATAAATCTAAATGTTTTATTATTTATCCGCAAAAATGTATTTTGGTTTCGTAATTGGGTATATTTTGTACTCAGTTATACATATGCATGTATATATTTGAATGATTATATCTTATTGAGAATTCGTTAGATTTGTTTATAGGTGATAATTAAAAGTTGCTTGCTGCAAAAATAAGAAGTTATATACAGAGCGATATACAGAGTAATTTTTAAAGAATTATTTGCCATACTTACAGTGCGGTGCTAAACAAAAGCAACAAATTATTTTGATATATTTTCATTAGAAAAAAATTATTAGTTCTTAGTAAACAACCACTAAATAAAGTAACAAAAAATACTTCATGGTCAGTAAAGAGGTGTTCAAAATTAAAGCAACAAATTAAAATTTTGTATAGGAACCCTTAGCTTAGGTTATATAACCTCAGCACATCTACGGGGCATTGATGCTATCAATTTATCGATTGTGGTTCGCGGATGTTTGAAACTTATCTTACAATTCTGTGGATCAAGACGTTTATCTTTATGACGGCGAACTGTTCATGTTCCATCAGAAGTTGTCTTATAAATTTAACTAAATAAAACTGTCTTGTTCTCTTTCTTTATTTATTGTCCAATTGCAATGTGTGGTAGCAAAATTTATATATATTATATGATAATTTATCCAGTAACACCTTTTTTCCATGTTTTTTTTTGTAAGCAATGCTTTTTTCGCTGGTCCATAACGCAGAACTCCGCTGAGTTGACAGTCCTTGGCCGGATAAAAATCCGGGTTTCTTCCGGTTAAGTTGGACCGACTGTGGTGGGAACGGAGTCTACATTCTCTTTCGATGTAGCAAACGAAGTGTTTTTTGGAAAATACTATACACTACAATTTTACCCAATTTGCTTTGTGATTTTCCATTTTGGAAATTGTTTATCATGCACTTTTTAGGACTATCACAATATTTACTTCGTGACGTCGCGAAGCGTCTAAACGAATTAAAACACTTGACAAATTGTTGTTTTTGTTTTATCGACACATCCTTACGTAATAGAATCATTGTATATAAATTAGTCTTATTATACTTGTCAATTAAAACAACAAAAAATAATAATAATAATGATTTTGTAAATATCTTCTTTATTGCACGAAATTTTTTAAATACATTTTTTCGTTAGGTTGTCTACCTGATTCAATCGATCCATGCGAAATTGATATCCTTGTCAATTTGTTTCGTTGAAATCACTGGTAATTCTTTATTGTTCGGATTATAAAAGCCGGGAGTAATTTGAGTATGCGCATTACGGTCCGGGTCTTTCTTGATATGTACCGCTTTTAATTTGTGGCTAAAAGCATTGCCAACCGTTTGCGCCTTGGGGTCGGGCGAAGTATGAATCTTCTTAAGTATATTGTGCTCCTCTGTGGCGAATTGTTCTTGCACATGCTTTGGTAAATGTGGACCCATTTGTTCAAGATATTGCTGCCATTCTAGTAATTTGTCTTCGGCAGCGCGTAGCTGTTCAATGCTCTTCTCATGACCTGGATTTAGGCCAATTGGCTGAATTCCGGCGACTTCTTTGAGATTCACCTTAATAGGTGCTAGTGCCGAAATGGCACGGGACAAACCGATTTGTGAGTGACGAATCCGGTGTTCCATTAAATCAGCGCCAAGCAATTCTTCGTTTGGATCCATGCGCAAGGGTATAAATTTGTTGACAATATAAAGTAGTAGAAACGTTGAACAAATGCCCCAGCAGGCAAGGCACAATGCCGACAAACTCTGAATGCCAACCAAGTACCAACCGCCACCTTTAAACAGTCCAGAACGTCCCTTTGTTGTATCTAACGGTACAGGGTTGTCAGCGAAAAGTCCGACCGCGATAACACCCCAAATTCCACAAACTCCGTGAACAGAGCTCGCACCTACTGGGTCGTCGACTCCTAACCGGTCGAATAACGGCATTGCGACTACACAAAGTAAGGCACCCAACATCCCAATGACTAGCGCCTCCCAAGCACGATATAGAAAACATCCAGCCGTAATTGAGACCAGTGACCCGAGTACACCGTTAATAAGATCGATAATGTCCATACGCCCATCATGACGCCAAAGCGAGTACCTATGATCAAATCATCATTTTTAATAAATGAATTGATCAGAAAATACCACTCCACAACTTACGCGCAACTTATAATACCACCACCAAATGAACCCATCATAGTCATGACAGCAGCACGTGCTGCATATTGCCATTTGGCACCGCTTACACCATAGGTACTGCCGGAATTAAAAGCTAGCCATCCCCACCAGAGCACAAATAGACCCATGCATGCATTCACAGGATTGCCAAGTGGCAGAGGATCGTAGCCGTCCGCGTAGCGACCCAAACGTGGACCCAACATGGCAGCAGATGCAAATGCGGCTGCACCTCCTAAAAAAAAAATTCTGTCAATATATCCCAATTCCATTAAACCGCTCTAAGTTTTACAAATACACATTTTCACCTTCAGAACTCAATTGAAAAAAGTTTTTTTCACGCCGAAGTTTGGACACTGCCGGTTAAATACAGGAGTAAATCAAACTTACCAATTAAATGTACGGGTCCACTTCCGGCTATATCAACAGCTCCAAGATTATTAAGGAAGCCATGCTCACCCCACACCCAACCGGCGGGTATACAGTAGACAGCAGTATTTAGTAACGAAAATAAACAGTACGCTTTAAAATTACATCTAAAATTGAGGTTAGGTTGAATAAAAGCGCATACATTTATAAGGTAAGTTAGAGATCAAGTACAACCAAATAAATATTTTACAAGTTAAACACATGAACACTCGATATATAAGTATATGGTTGGAATTCATAGGGGAAGGATGCCATGCGCATTAAATTGGTTTGCTAATTTGTAAATAATTATAATGAGTATATGGAGCTAGGTAGAGGTCTAACCAAGTTTCAAATTATACTATGCTCAAGAAAACGTGCCCAGTTTATTTCATTAGGATTCCCCCTTAGATACTGTATAAAGTCCACCGCAAGGCAAAATGTAATTACATTTGATATATAAGAAATTGAGTAATGGGCGAAATAGGAGAATTTCAATAATTTGATACTATTGAAGAAATCAAACCTTTACGATATTTGAGGCATAAAGTCAACCAGAGATACGGAAATAATTATACTGGGTATAAGCTGGACCGATATGATCCATTATGTCCACAGGGCAATATATCCGCTTAATTTGAAATATTGATAGATATATTCATTATTAATTTAACCGTTAGATCGTAATCTTTATATGCTATAACCGAGACTAGTAGAAGATATGGACCGATTTTTGTTTTACTTTCTATTAGAAGGATGTAATGTTAATATCCAATATCCTGTTTTTTCGAACAAATTGTTGTGGTCGTAGCAATGGTTCGATTATGGAATGCCTAGAAATCGGAGTGGCAAGTTTGATCAGTTTTATGAACAGTCGAACAGACGGATAAAAGACAGATTCGTGACGTCATCCTGCACATAAATATATAACGCAATTAGTTTTGCGTGTGTTTTACAACGATTGGTGATCAAAACTATTATGTCTTTTTCGCCATAGTATCATCCATATCCTTGCTTTTGTGCGAGAATACTATTAGGAATATTATGAGTCATTTGGTAATTCTATAAGGAACCATAACATATTTACATGGATATTTACATATGTATATACGTAACGTAAAAATTCGTTTTTATTATTTTAAGGTACCTTTCTGCCATGGCGCCGCTTACAATCGTTGTTGCTGTCGTGGCAAAGGACAACTGAAATAAAAATGCAGCGAAAATTTGCCCCATTAAAGGATCACCCACAGGTGGATCGAGTAGAAAATCTCCAACTGCTATGAATGGATTCGAAAGTGGTCCACGGCCGTAACTCATGCCATAACCGAAGAGCCAGTAGGTAAAGCCGCCAAGTACAATATCAATGACGTTTTTCATCATGATGTTGACCTCATTTTTAATTGAAACACAACCCGACTCAAGCATGCCAAACCCTATGAGAAATAGGAAAAAATCGTAAAAAGTAGTGCTAAATCTATTCTATATGATACTGGTAGATACGGCCACATGTTGCTGTTATTTGTATTATAATATTCAATACAGTTAAAAAAATATTTACGATAATAATGCTTTTTTCATATGTCATTTTACTTAAAATTATAATAACTTTGCTTAGGCTTACAAATATCTTTTTTCATTTATGAATTGTTTTGACTTGTATATACATACATACATAGAAATACACTTTTACATATTGTAAATATATTCCTAAATAGTATTAGGTTGGATTCGATTCATAAGTTCTCTGTTCGTTATATTTGAGTTTTGCTCACTTGCAAAAAATGTGCAAGTGGAATCAATAATAAAGTTGAAATCACTTCAAGAGAGTCTGTGCATATCTTTTTAGTTGTGTAACATCCTTCTCATCTAAAGTCATAAGAGTCAAATTTGTCATAACTCGCTAGATCTCAGCAGCATTTCCCAAAACTAGTTGGGGATTTCCTTTTGTCCTTATAACTGTTATAATGTCAAGAAGAATAAAATGGTCAGACGAATCAAAGTTTTAGTTGCTGGACTGCTGGTTGCAGACTTTTTGGTATGACTAAAAAGAAAACTCCCTGGGACTAGGAACATCATGGGGATGAATAAATTGGTGGAATTATTAAATGGATTCCATCGACTTGTTTAATTCTTTGGGTTATTCCAAGAGTTGTCTTACGTAAGACTTTGCAGCCTTTGGTTATCTTATTATATAAAGATGTTACTAACGTGCAGTAAAGTGAAATATGAAATAGTGCTATGTATGCAAAGGGTTTCTATAACTGTATAACTGTACTATCATAAATTTTGAATACGTCGGAGATCAGATACCAATGGTTTCTGCATAATAGCAGTATTATACATTTTCATATTTTCAGTTATTTGTTCATATTAGTTTACTTTTTTCTTTACGGCTCATTGGATCAGTAAACTGTATCTTAACGTTTTAAACTTTCTACTTAGCTGATCAAAGAAAAAAATAGTTTTATCGAGATCTGGAAAATTGCTTCGGAAAACATACTTTTGTTTGAATCTTAGCTTCAAACTTACCAGTTTGCATTGTGAAAATGATGAATGAAGAAGTCAACACCCAGTTGGTATCCTCCACACTAAGGTCGTATAATCCTGGTATGACATAACTACTGTTGCGTATAATGCCCTTTAACGCAGTGGCTTGGGATGCCGAGACATTTGTCACTTTTGAAGTCATTGTGCCTATGCGTTTAAGTCTATTTTCATGTTGTAACGTAAAAGGTTACTTCTCAAGTTCTTTAGGGAATGTTGATACTCCGCCGATTGAGAATAATGTATGTGTTTTAAGTTCTTTACTGACTATGACTGACAGGTGTTTTGTAACTTGACTGATTGTCCTACACTTTTAGTCGCTTCGTGTTCGTGGCTCCTTGCAAATAATGGCGAGCAAATCGTTTTTTTAAACTTCACTAACAATAACAACCATTACTACACCTATGTGGACAACAACAATTATGCATTCACATTTGAATTAACTGAACCAAATTATCGTGGTTGTACTTATTTGAAAACACAAACCTTTGCACATACATATGCATGTGTGTTGCGTGATTCGGATATTAACGGCCTGTGCGCTACACCCGGTCTTACGACAAAGATATTAACAGTGTTTGTCTCACAGTATCTAGAAATGTACACTTGTACTTAAAACTATCTCAAATATCATTAATAAATATCTGGAAAATCTCCATGCTTATAAAGTTAAACTAAGCGATATTATTTGATTTTAGCACTGGCTTTGTTTTCTATAGACATACTAATATAATTATATCAAACTAAATATACTAGTTCGCACATATAAACGTACATATGTACATAAATACTATATGTATGTATACAACTTTTTCATACACATACACATATAAAATAAAATAAATTAGAATTGTCAACAAGTTTGCATGCTAACCCCGTATCAATTAAACCGCAGGCTTATAAAAAGTGTGTAAATTAATCTGAAAATCACATTTTTATATAAATTAAAAGAAAAAAATTATTTTTATTGTTAAATCTGAAGTAATCCTTATTACCGACAATTTTCCTTCCTAGGCTCTTGTTTATACGCATTAAATCCACTAATCTATGTATACATTCACCAACATCAGACTTGAGTAGATTAAAATTAACCAACGAATATTTAAATGTACGTATTAATAATTGAATCGGTAAGGGTGTACCTGAAAACTTTTACCACGTATATAATGCTATACTTACCTATTTTGAAGGAACGATTAAATTAAATTACTTAAATATTAACTTCGTTCCGTTTGCCCCTAATCGTTATGGTTTGGTGACTCGACCACGCGTGACGCCAAATTGTTGTTGCATACAGCGATTTGAATTTAACAAATCATTAACGGTTGTATCACACGCTGCAGTTCATGCGATTCTATGAATGAATGTACAAGTATGCATGAATGAGAAATGTCTATCCGAGAAATGTCTAAACGTTAACTGATTTCAGTTGTTATTTTATTTGCCACTAAATAGCAAATTTTCTAGAATACATATACATACATATATGCATTTGTATGTACAGTGGGGAGCAAAACTTATTTAATAAATCAGTTTTATAAAAATAAAAAAAAATATTTGTGATATGATTTGAACTTAGGCAAAAATATTACACGTTGCAATAAGGAAGTGTGCTATTCAGAAAGCAGCTCAGATAATATTTGGAGAACTGTGAACTCAAACGTGAAATATTTTGCCTAAGTTCAAATCCTATCACAGATATCTATTTACTCTCTTTTATATTTGTATACAACTTTTTTATTAAATGACATTTTAAATATATTTTCATATTATTTCCCTCATTATTTACTTTTTCCTGTCATATGTTAATTACTTTCCTTTTTATTATTTCAATTTTTGTTAATACATTTTGCTTGGTTCCCTGATAGGGTGGTGAAATTTCATTTTCGCAAGTGCGCGTTTTCGATTTTCCCTCATAATAATTTACATTTTAGTACAGCTAACATACGTCCGTTCTCCATTTATCTTTCTCTATTCATTAACATTCTCTGTTGTTACCGTATCATCTAATATCAGTAATTTTTTTGAGAACCTTCATAATTAATAAATTTTTATTATAGTACAAAAAAAGTAATACTCTTTTTAAAGTGATTAAATTCTATTTTTCTGAAAGAACTGTTTTAATTACAATATTTGAGATATGAGAAATTATTGTTTTTCTTTCTTAACATGTTTCGCCTGGCAACGCTTGTGTATTGTCGCTGTATGCTGAGTGCAGTTGGTGAAAGGAAATATTCGGGGCGAGTGTGATAAAAAATAGGACAAGAAAAATATTTTTGTGCTTTAACTTAATATTTAAGTACACTGATTAATTGATAATAGATTTAAAATATTTTAAAATTCAAGAAAGTTGTATAAAGTGTGCGATAATGCTCGTTTTTACCGCGCTTGTATTTAATTTCATTCAAGGTAATAATGAAAATAGTATACCACATCAACTAAATAAGTTCATGTTCAACATCTGTAAAAAAATTAATATGAAAAGTCATGGGAGAAAAATAATTGATATTTCTGTATAAATATGTTCATATATATTCATTAAGGAAAAAATGTTAACCCATATATAGGGCCAAACGCCTTCAAATAGTATTAATTGTGTCAATTGCATTTCATCGCATAATATTCAGCTGTTCAAGTTTTCTCAATACGTTGCAATCAACACCAACAAACGAACGAATGGTCCATGGCCAACGTCAACGGAGTCCCAAATTTATGGGACACCCGTTTCTCAGTCGCCTCGCAGTGCTGTGCTGTTTTCTCATCCTTTTTCCATTTGTGTTTTATATTCATCTTCGCCTATGTGCGCTACTTTGATGTTTCGCTTCGTCTCGTTGAGCTCCCAATTCTAAGGCCTGTCGGGTGTTTTCGTTTGTGCCTATTATTTTATGCACGAAGCGCATCAGGAGCAAATACGAATGGGTGCTTAAAGAGAAACTGCCAATTGAAGAAGGTTAGTTCACGAAGCAATGCAAACAACGATTGCATATGTATTCGTGTGAATTGACTTGTGTGGGCGGTGTTTGGAGTGCAATAGTACCTTCCGCCGACAATAAGCTTCAATGCATTTACATAGGTTTCTAGAAGTGCATTTTGGCTAGGAGCAGTGAAGTAAATGTGGTACGTTGCTGTGATGATTTATTGCTGTCTCCTTTTTTTTTTTTTGGGCTTCCTGTTTTGAATTTGTACATATTGGCAGTAAACGCTATACATACCTACATATACTTCTTGAGCTAACAAATGAATACAATCAGCAACCGATTGCGAAAATAAGTTGTAGTATGTGCGAGGTGTATTCAGTGAGGCAAGTTTTCAAACGAACTGAAAGCATTAAGAAAATATGGATGTAAGTGGATAATGGGAAAATCGTGGCAGCAGCAAATATTGTTGCTAACTGCAATAGATGGTTTTCAACTTCGTGTAGACGAAGAAGCTGCCGACTGTCTGTGCTAGTCATATTTGTCCAATGGACATTAAGCTGCCACAAACTGCATCTACATTTATTTCGTTTAGTCGCTTAAATGTCGTGTCATTGGTGGTATTGCAATTTTTTACTTCTTTGTGTCTGCTAAAAAAATTTTTTCTGTGAGTATTAAAAATAAATATTATTTAACTTTAAAATTTGTTTAAGGATATGTGAATATGCAAATGCGTGAACGTAAGTTGTTTTAAAAATTTTCGTTCCTTAATACTTTTATTAAATAAAGAATTTGATAACTACTAAATATTTTTATTTGATTAATTATTTAAAAATATCGATTTTGTCTGGACCAAAACTATTCTAACTCACTGGGTAAGAGTGCTTGTGCTCATAATATAACATTCCTCAGGAAATATCATAAATTATATTTTTTAATAAATATTTTTATAAATAACTGCTAAAATTTAAATTCAATTATTGCATATATCAGCTATACTCGATTTCTAGGAAAAGTTAAAAGAACAGACTCAGACGCACTAACATCCAAAAAGTTCAATAGTCATCCAAAATAAAACCAACAAATATTTAGTTTGATAGATTTTGTTTTGGAAAAGACGACACACAGCTTAGAGCCATTTTTTAACATCTATTCACCGGAATACATGTACATGTTGAACGCTATACAATCATTGTATTGGGCTGTCGTTAATATCTTTACGCAGATACATTACATTATATCTTTCTATACATTTTCGTTGAAATTAAGCAAGGTGATTAGGAGGCCACGGAATTTTCTATATAAGCTTGAAACAGAAATTCTTTACATTCTACAGAAATTCTTTACACACCTTGTTTTTCATAATATGTAGTATACTGAGGCATACTCCGAGATTCGGAATCTTCTATGTTATTTACTTAATATTGAATTTTCTTAACGAAAAATGCCCTAGTTATATATTAGTTTTCACGCAACCAACAGTTGTTGCACTCGAAATTAAAGTTGCAGTTATTTTAACGAAATTTATAAAAAAAAATGTACGGTGATGTTAATATTTTAGGTGAAAATGCTTTTGCAAATATGTATGTATATCATAATGTTATTGCCGTCATTATTTATGTATATAATGTTAGTTGTAATAGCCTTACATTTCATCATTTGCATTTTGCCTATTACCCTTAATTAAAAAGAACGGAAATCTTTAATAAAGCAATTATAAAAATTCTATGGGACTGTTAGTATGCCATAGCGCACTAGGAATGGCCACACCCATAAATTAAAGAAAAATATTGATTGTAATTATTCCATTGATATGGAGTACTTTTCTTTAGGTTTAGTTTTAAGTTTCGAGAATTCACAATGCTATTCTTATTGTAATAAGCGTCAGCAAGGTATCGTCAGTTAGCACTTAAGCGTTAAAATTTTGACTTTATTTATTTTCTTATTTATATTACAGGTGCAATTTCAGCCAATGCAGCCATTCCCGGTGCCCATTGCCGTGATTACAACGGCAAAATGTACGAAACGGGGATGCATTTTATGCCCGGGCCAGACTCATGCCGCCTCTGTGTATGTGAAAATGGTCTACCGAAGTCCTGTAAAATGGTCCTATGTGAAGCATTTAGCAAATGCAAATCTTTTCAAGTTGGCAATGGTAATAGCTGCTGCGAGGTGATCTGTCTTGATGACCAATTCACTGATGGCAGTACTGATTTCGGTATTTGACTGGTGGCCAGTGGCATTACTGCCACACTTTCTTTATCGTTACTTTTCTTTCTGGTAAATCGTCTGAGACAGCGTAAGATACGTGCACGCGAAAGTCGACAAAATGTCGAGGATCAGCGCAGTATTGTTGGTAGTATTGGGTAAGTATGAATACGATCAAACAAGCACACAAAACCAAACTTAACTTTGATTCCATCTTGATTTGATAAAATTAATTGAAAATTTTTATTGCTCATTACAGTTACATAGCCGGTAATATGGGTTACATGGAAGGTAACATGAGCGGCATGGATTATTCTTATGCTGGGGGCGCCTCACACTATCCACTATGGAAACCAGCTAGTGCTTACTTTCCACGTGGGGAGGCGCCGCCTCCTTACGAAGAGGCAGTCGCCATATCGCAAGCAGAAGCTCTAAGCGCACAGTGCACCGTTAGTGTGGCCACGACAGCCCACCGAGCTATGGGCCTTAATGCTACTGTTACACCGGTCGAATTAAGTGCCGAAATGCGTCGCAACATGCAGCAGCAGCAACAACAAACTTTAGTCCAGCAACATGGGATACATTTGCATCAACCGACGTCATCACACAGTGGTAGTGGCGGAAACTGTACTAGTTCCCTCGCCGGAATGCCTAACACGACGCAAGCATTGCATCATCATGTTGGTGCGTTGACGTCTACGGCACAACCACAACATCACCAACAATCTCACAATCAAATAACGCAAAGCACCACCAACCTAATTAACATAAATATCAATAGTGGCGGCAATGTTACCACAATTGCTACGGGGGAAAATCATCAACCTCCGTATAGGTAAGTGCTTACAGAAGATATGAAACTGTTATTAGGGACAAATTAATAATATCTACTTTAGATGGTTAAGCATACAATTTTGGTAGTGTTAGTATTTATTTTATTCATATATTTTAATATTTTATTTTTATTTGGTTTATGTTTCTTCTATACAGTTCTCAGAACACGAGTACAACACAGAAAATTTGTTTAAAATAACTAAAAACAATAAATTACTGGAAATATAAATACTTTTGGAGTCTAAATTATTTACTTGTGCGACATTGCCATCATTTTGTATTTTATATCGGACGTATTTATGTAGGTATCATTTTTTGTTTACTACAAACTTTTTTTAAGCCCCATTTGCCATTTTTACTTGCATTAGAGACAAAATCTCTCTAGCGTATCTCCATTTTTTCTAGTACAATAACCGTTTTTTGGTTCTAAACGATAAATAAAAAATACAACTTTGACGATTTTTCGAAATTCGAAAAATTTCGAAAGTTATTGTTAATATTTTTTTGGACGATCTTGGAAAATATTTATTTTCTCTTCGATTTCGCTTATGTTCAGTATGATTATGAGCGAAAATGTCCGCTTTCATTTGATATTACTAATTTTTACAAAAAACAATGTTTGTACAAAATACAAACAATTTTCTTAAATAAATTGAATTAAAGTCATCTTCTCAAAATTGCGCTAATTTTTTTCATAACATATTATTTCTTATTTAATAAAGAACCATGCACAAAAAGAAAAACAAAAAGGTTTTGTTTAAACATTTCATTTTGAATAATTCAAACACACCCATTCATGTTAGACTTTTTGAAAAGTACTTATAGAGTGTGTTTCTTAACTGCTAGTAGCTGCTAGCTTTCAGTTCTTTGGGTTAAGAAACGCTTTTCCAGCAAATACTTTGCCAGCTGCTGCTAGTTAGCAGTTAAGAAACAAACTTATAAAAACTTTATGGAAAATGAAGTATAGTATATTTATATATGGAATACTTCAATTTTCAGTTTGCAACACGAAAGTGGCGGCAATGTTTTACAGGAACCACATAGTCATCAATCGTTACAACAGCAGCCACAATTAATGAATACAACTCACATAGGCAATAGTAGCGGGGGACGTCTCCATCTGACTGCCGCTGCGCCCAGCAATTCAATTTGTGTCCAGACACTCTCAAGTGGAGCGGGTGCCCATCAGCCACTCAGTCAATCAACGCAAATGATGGGACTCAACAAATCTTTCCACCTTCAGCAACAGCCACTGCAGCAACATCACCATCAACTTACTGCTGCGAATGTCGCCTGCCAAGCTATGCAGCAGAATATGACATCTTCGGTTGGTTCTACGTCGAGCAGCAACGAGTGTAGCTATAAAAATTGTCATCTGAATATCAGCGCAAGTACTGCATTGGCTTCGTCGTCGGCTGTGGGCGGATCACAACAGCGTCGTTCCCAACGTGCACTGCCAGTTCAAGCCACTCATGTGACACACGATATGCTGCAACAGTTTGTTACCGTTGCTGATGTGGAAATCAGCGGTAACACTGTGGGGTATCATTCATTGCCGAATGGTACTGGTGTCGGTGGGGGTGACAGTGAAATTGAACAGCTTCGAGCTGCTACGGTGCCCACGTCAACCCAATATACTGGGTCACAGATGACGGGGGCAATTTCAACACCCAGTATGGATGTGTTGCCACTGATGAGTGGAGAAATCGCTACAATTTCTAATAACACCAGCGATTCAATCACACAAACAGCAATAAGTGCGGTCTCCGGGCCGCATACACTGCCTACAAATGCGCACACACAAACATTAAAAAGTGGTAACAGCACCAATAGTATTAGTAGCCAAAGTAGCAAAACACCCTCGTCCTCGCGCCGTTATCATCGCACTATACCACGATACTTTGCCCTTACCGATCCGCTAAGTGACAAAGAAGCCTATGGCATAAGTAAAAGCAAATCCGAAAATAGCTCACGTGCTAGCGCGAGCAGTACCGTGTCTTCTGTAACTTCTACCAAAAAACCCACCTGCCAGTGCCCAGTGCAGCATGTGCCCATGTCATATATGGCGACCACGCAACTGAGCAATGTTGCACAATGTGCCAGTAATAGTGCTCTTCTTTCGTCCCTAAGTAGCAAATTGAACGCAGCTTGCCAATTATCAGCGGCATCTCAAACATCGTCAGCATCATCAACTCTAGTGACATCACATGGCAGCAGCAGCAACGGACGCTCCAACACTGTTACTACATTGGGTAATCCGCAACGAGCCAAATCCTCCAATAGTCTTCAACAATCGTCAACCAACGATGCCAATTGTTTCGGAGTGGGCAACACCTTGAAGCGCACAATACATACCACTAGCACCAGCACCAATACGGCAACGCTCACCAATAATAACAATAGCAACACTAATGCTACATCGGTATGCAGTTATGATATGAAAATTGCCACCATTTCTAAGCAAGTCGGTGATAGCTCAGCTGTAGATCTAGGAACAGCCATAAGTGGTCATCATCATCATGCTGCCCACCATTCCCACCATTCTCATCATGCACATAGTGTTGTTGTGTTACCGTCGCAGACCCACGACGAGAGTATGCCCATAGTTTTGGGGCGTGTACATAAACGATCCAGTGGTGAACGGGAGCGCGAACGCGAACGAGCACGCAGTGCTAGTAGTGGGCGTGCCAGCAGCAATAGTAGCACGCACCAGATGGAGAATAGCGCGGCTGCAATTTACTTGAACGGAAAGGTGAGTGGTAGATGAGGTAAGAGAGAGTTGGTAAATATTTAATTCCTACTAAAAAGAACTTTATTAATTTCATTAATATTTATAAAATTACTAGTAGATCCGGCCACGCGTTTCTGTGGTTATGGTATACATTAATTAATATTATTATATAATAAACTATTCAATACAGTGAAAATATTATTTTTGAATAAAGGCGAGATCGTTATTGCCGGTATTATTATTATTTGTATACTCTTGCAACATGTTGCTAAAGAGTATAATAGTTTTGTTCACCTAAAATTTTGTTTGTAACACCTAAAATTAATCTACATAGATATAGAGTATAAATGATCAGGTTGACGAGACGAGTTAAAATTCGGTTGACTACAAAGAATCACATTAAGGAAGGACACCTGTGGTTTAAAAATCTTCAGAAAGTGGGTACGACCCCGCTCCCTTATAGGTTTAATGTATATATATATATCTCCCAAACTATTCAAGCTATATCACCTAAAGTTCTTTCGACACCCCTTATGGCAGTGTGAAAATAGGTGAAATCGGATGATAACCCCGCCCTCTAAATCAATATCTAAATGTGGCAGAGAGATTAAATTTTATATCCGGGTTGGTATAAGAGAGCTTTATAGGAACTGGTGTCAAAATTGGACGATGGGTGTGACAGCGCCCACATTTAGGTGAAAACCTTTACCTTAGGATCTAAGAGACCAATTTCAACCAATTTTGGTAGGTAACACTTTCCTGAAATGCCTATGTTACAGTGTCAAAATGGGCGAAATTGCACTTCAACTACGACTACTTCCCATATATCACAAATTTTTATTCCATCTGTGCAGAAGTAGTGCCTTTAAGGTATACCATCTCAAGTTTAATTTAATCAAAATCGAATCAGAACTGTTCTAGCCCCCATATATCGAAGATGTGTAGTCCAGTGCCTATGTCTGACTTTTTGTCGAAAATATTGGCCGATATTCGAACTTCCGGCTGACTTTATACCGTATATATCGGTCAATATGTAAGATATCTTAGCGAAATAAACTGAACGCGTATTGGATATACTATAGTTTATTGCTGAAAATATGCGAAATTGGTCTACGAATTATCCAAACTCCCATATAATACATATAATGATTTTCGTTATTCTAACAAACCTTATGCTGAATATGTCGATCTGTGTTAGTTATTTATTTAGAAAATTGTTTGAAAATATGTTCTCTAGTATATCTGAGCAATGTCAAAGGTTAATGCAAAAAGTCCAAACATTTATCTAGCAACAATAGGTATCTGTAGTGATTTCCGAATTTTCAGGTGACTTTAAACGTTTAGATTAATTAAAATGTTGACAAATATTCTTAAAAATTTTAAAATTATATTATTGGCTTAGCGCTGAATATGAATGGAGTTGATGAAGACCTTGAACTAAACCTCATGTCCCTGATAATGAATTCCGATCCTCTAGTTGACGTTTTCTACATCAACTCAATATATTAAATTTAGTAATAAGATCATAATATAATAATCGAATCATGAAATAGTGTTGAATTTAATTATTATATACATATATATTTTCCGGGCTTTGATGCTTGCAAGTTGCAAGAGTATGAAATGTTCGGTTACTTCTTTTTTTTTTGTGTAATTTTGAACTAATGCTTATGCTGCAAATATATTTTTTTTATGACGTGTTTTGACATGTAACATAATTGAGATATAAACTATCTCATCTTGTAAGTTGGATTAAACTGGACACACTGTGCTAAATTTTACTAAAATTGGTTGAGTAGTTTAGGAGTTTACCCGGACAAGCGTGACATATATATAGAAAAAGGTGGAATATTCTATTACGATTATCATATTACGTGTTAAAAAATTAATGGGCTATTGGAATAAATTAGTATTTTTTTATTATTTAATCTTATTAGGGCGACGCATACTTGAACTTTCCCCATCCACAAAATTTCAGCAATCTCAATTCGCAACAGCAGCAGCAGAATCACCACCAACAACAACAAACCAACGAAACAAATCCCATATTACCACCGAAACTACACAAATCTCTAACGAATTTAAAAACTACAACAAACAACAATCATAGTATAATGACCACAGCAACAGTGATTTCTTGTGCTGCTGTTACTACGCCCAACCCCACCACCACTGCCACCACCTCCTCAAGTTGCCCAACCGTGCAAACGGTATACACCCTCAGCAAACCATCCACATCGACCACAGCACATACGAACCGCAAGGAGTACCATAGTTTCCATGAACCTATAAATGGCAACGGCGGGATCAGCAGTTGCAGTAAAAATTCGCCGCTTTCGCTAACTTTGCCGCTTTCGGAGGGATTAGTAAACAACTTTGGAAGTGTGAGCACCAGTACTGGTAGTGCTAGCGGAAGTAGTATTGGCAACAATACGGTAGGTTCACAAACGCATTCTGCTGAAAAGTCAAGTAAAATCAATTCAAGCACATTTTATCCACTGCAAAATAATCATGTGACATATACACTGCCAAAATATATAAGTGGCAAAGTATCGTTGAATAGCACCATTGCCAGTGTAGTTAGCAAGGTGCCTTCAGTGATCAGTATACCAGTTGGTGGCGGCGAAGTCGATTTATTTGAGAATAATAACAGCTGTGTATACGCCTTAAATCACAGCAATTCAACAAACGGTAAACATGAATCCACAGCAATGTCCACGTCTAAGAGTAGCAGTGCAAATGGCCGTAGCACAACATTGCCAAAGATTTTACGTGCCAAAAAACAGCAAGACATTAGTGCTAGCAACAATTGTAATAGCAATATTGCCGGTAGCAACATAAAATATTTAACTAACACAACATCTGGAATGACAACAGCAACCGCGTCGATATCGTCGGTAGCACAATGCAATATGCCCGTCTATCCTCAACAGTCCACTAGTTCACACGTCAAATCAACCGCAACAGCTAATGCAACAACGCAATTCAACTCCATCATAACTGATAGTGATGCTCTGTCTTCTGCCAAACATTTACCAGTCTGCACCACTTCAAAAAATTGCCAAAATCCAAAGGAGCATTTTTTGCCAAACGACACTAGTTTGGATGATGATTACTTAAGCGAGTGCGAGAATTGTAAAATTGCGCAGAGTGCCAAATATTATTTAAATGCTGAAGAAGTGGAGGCAATACCACAAGAGACAATGACCCTACAGCGCAAATCGATGGACGACAACAAAGAAGAGCAGGAGCAGTCGTATTATCGTATTTCGCACACGCTACCAACAAATCCCAAGAAGAATGCGTGAGTATATTCTGAACTTACAATAATACAAGCAATATATGCCCATATTGGGAAATCAATTTATTGACAAACTTAAAGAGACTTTTTTAAAAAGCGGAAACATGGTGTAGACACCGGTTTTTGGTTATAAATAAATAAGATAATTTCTTTGTTATCGTTTCTAATTATAATCTTTTATATAATATCTATTATAAACTTTTAAATAATATATTGGTTTCTATGTTTTTTTTTTTCGTTAATGATTCTAGTCCAGTCAAAAATAACAATCGTGAACCATGGTTTTCTACAATCCCTGCTAGCTCGTCATCCGAAGAGGATGTCAATGAATGAGATTTAACGCATTTTCTTTAAATAAGGAATTAGCAAAACCCACACGCACCAGTAACTACACATACGTACACACAAATACATGCATACACGAGAGCATCGGAGTAAGCAAAACGGCTTTGGGATTTGGCAAATCAAAAAGTTGAAGTATGTAAACGACAGTACGAACAATTAATGTAATATCTGCACAGCGGGTAAGTCTAAGTAAGTATTCAAATAATACATACATGTACAAGTATTTGGAATAGAATATATTATATATTCTATTTAAAAGGTATTGCAAGTAAAATAAGGTAAAGTTAAAGAGCATACTTACGCAATTACAAGTTAAGAAAAGTCAAAGGCTCTTCAAATTATCGTCATAAAAACTCTTGTATTTCACAAAAAAGAAGAATAAATAATTACAGGAAAGAATATATTGTTAATTCCTCTTTTTTTTTTTTACTCTTTGCACGTTTCACCAGTATGTTGCATAATAAGGCTAAATGAAGAAACCCAAAGCAAGCCTTTCGACAAAACATATATAATAAGTTAAAATGTTATAATAGAAACACATTATACAATTAAGAGATACCAAAAATTTAATCCCAAAATTTAATGTATTCTTATGTATAGAAAAACGTTCATTAATTGTGCGCTTCAATTAACTAATAATTAAGACAGGAAAATAATTTTCGTTGAGCAGTATATTTATACAATAAGCTAAGCCAAAATTGCTTGTATTCAATATTACATGTATAAAATTAAAAATTAAAAGAAAAAACACATAGTTATGTTCCCATACGATAGGGAAACATTAGGGGATAATCACATTGCTAGCGGTACACATTTCAATGGCAAAGAAATTCGCATAATTATTTGTAGACAAAGATTTAAATGACACAAGAAAACTTGACTTCAACTACCTAATTTATTTAGTTAAATGAAATTACAGCGTACTTTTTTATATTTTCTAACAATTGTCCTTTACAGAAAAATCAAAATTAAAACAGTAAAATAGAAATTATATACGCGGTTAATGCGTAAAAATGGTAGCAGTAATGTGAATATCCTTTCTAAAGTAAAAGTATAATATTATCGCTTGAGATAGCCTCAGCAAAACAGTGTACGTGAATGCCAAAAACGTATTAATTAGCAAGTGGATGGTATATTGCTTAAAAAATGCCATTTGGAAGCATAAAAAATGTGATACTTAAGGCTGGCGCAATTAGTTTTAGATATTCTCAGCTGACACTTTACAGTAATGCCTCAACATTGAGTGCATTTTCGCAAATTCAAATATCATACAGGTGATCCTCTCTTTACATGGTTTGTCGAGACCAAATATATACCGTATAAAAAACCCCAAATTCTATACAAATTCGTCTTATCGTTCTTCTTTCGGAACAAAACCGCGCAATAGAAAATATCGTGCAAAACAAACACATGACCTAACACGTTCCACAAAATATTGACACTATTTTTCAATAGGTTTGTATGTACCATATGTGTTTTACATATGTATTTATTTAGTCCTTATATAAACAAAAACAATTCATTCAATTGACGTAAAAAATAACGATTTAACCAAAAAAAAAAATAGCGAGATCGATTCAGAAAAAATTCTACTTTGAGTTACACTCACATTATTGGCAAACAGTGTTTTCACAAATGTTTACTTAAAGTCTTAAGTTTTAAAAAAATCAGTCATAAGACACTGCATCTTTTGTTTAGTTTTCTTATATAAATTGTTATAGCATTTAATTGCTCGCTGAAGCTTTGCTGAGCGTTCTTCATTTGGATCATGAATTAGAAAGTGATTTTTTAAATCAGTTGCTTTCTTTAAATCTTGACGAATTAGACTCGCAGTAAGAGGACCAGTTCCACTTCATGCATCCACTACTGTTTGGTTTCCATCGTCATTATTGTTTCCATCTAAAACAGAATCTTCAAAGGATTCGTCGTCATCTTGAATGTTGAAATTCTCAAAACCCTTCTCCTCGAATGATACTGGTAAGCTGAAAATCCGCGCATGCAGACAAGTTCTCATCTTCATAATTCGCCCTCAATACGACGCCTTCCCACATCCATCAAAAGCTACAGAATTAAAAAATGTTTAAATTGACTTCTAGTTAGACGCAATACATAGAAAACCCGGTAAAAGCTCGAGGCTTCAAACTTTTGTTTACTACCAACGGTTTTCACAATTTTTTCATATCATATGATGCATTCGCGCGTAACAGCAACGTGAGACGGTCCTTTGCCGCCTTGAAACCTTTGACCGTTTTTTCGTGTTTCACGATATAGGACCGACTGTGCATTTTTTTCCAGGATGTCAAAAAAAAAAAATCGTGTAATAAGAGGATCATCTGTATTTTGACAAATATTTATTACAGTTTTCATTAGAAAAAACATCAAGAAAAACAACCAGAAACTGTAAATTCGAGGTATGTTCAAAGGGAAAGGTGAATTTTGAAATTGTTGATAAGTACTTTTTTTATCCATCAATATCTATTTTGACCCCTACAAAGTAATCCCCCTCGGATATAATACACTTGTGCCAACGCGTTTTCCAATCCGCGAAGCACTTCTAAAATGCGCTTTTCGGTATGGTCATCAGCTTTTTTTTCGATTCTGACTTGATCTCATCAATTGTGCCAAAACGCTTTCCTTTCTTTGGCTTCTTCAGTTTTGGGAATAGAAAAAAAGGAGCAGGGAGCCAAATCTGGTGAATACAGTGGTTGAGGCATGATTACGGTTTTCTTTTGTCCAAATCACAAACGAGCATTGATGTGTGCGCTGGTGCATTATCGATAAATATCGATAATCGAATGTACACAGCCCGCGAAAAATCAAAATTCACCTCTTCCTTTGAACACACCTCATATATTTGAATTTGAAAATGATTCTTATTATGTTGGATTTTTCTAAAAATTATTTTTAATTGAAGAATGATTACACTTTTTATATTGCTACAACAATAGAAATATTACGTTTAGGATCATTGACCTGATGATTTCTCTTTCAACGTTTCTTTTTCGAACTTTGAACCAAATTGCTTTTATGAATTTCACTGACTGATCCATGTTTTCAATATCACGGCCAAACCATTACTGACCCTTCTTCAAGACTGAAAGTTGGTGGTCAGTCTTCATTTGGTGTCCTGCAATTATAGAATTGTCCATTTGATCTAAACATGAAACCTTTACTTTACTCTAAAATTCTTCTTTCTATTTACAAATAAATACCAAAATGTATCAATATCCTTAGTCAACTGCAGAGAAGGAAATAATGTTGACAGACTAAGTTTTTAAAACAAAATTGCTATTTTGCCATTGTCTATATTATTAGAGTTCTATTTAAATGTCTCTCTAATAATACGAGATACACTTTTTTTAAATTTCCCACCTGGTGTGAAATTTCGAAAATATCATTTTTTTATTTTTTGCTTACCATATTTCGATTGTCTGTACCTCATTGTAATTGCTTTGATTTTTTCCTGCTTATTTTGTATACAAATACGTTTACGAAAATTGTAGAAAATTGTGTGACAAATATCACCATTTTTCAGGAAGTATCCTTATGAATAGACTAAAAATGTCTAGTTTTCGTTGAAGATAAAGCCTTGTCCTTTGCCTTGGGATAAAGCAGTAAAAGTTGATATTTATAGTTCTCGCAGCACTTTTTCCATCCCTATTCAAGTGTTTGCAAGACATAAATATATAAGCTTCAGGTGACGAATAAAGTTGACCCCGAAATCTATTTTTGTTATGAAATAAATTGGTTAAAGTCAAGACGGCGTATGATCGATCAATTAGAGTTCAAACCGTTTTGGGTGAATAATTCTTCAGTTGTCGAACAAATGTTGTATAATTCAGAAATCGCCGTTCTCCGTTGATGCAATGGTGGTAGTTATTGCGCAAAAACAAATGGACATTTGTTACAAAACGCGTTGTGCATTTGGTTTGTCGTAAACCGATGCAAACGATATTTGTACGAAAAATCTAGGTCTAAAAGTCTTATGTTTTATATTCAAAGTAAAGTCTATTTTCTCTCCTCTATTTTAACATTTACAAATGTAAACATTTAATACTTACACATCTAACCTCTTGAACCCAGTTTCAATTACTAACCTGTCTTTCGGTAACGTGTCATTACTTTCATGCCCACAAAAACCATTGCTCGTTACTTAAAAATTGCAACAGAGCTTGTTATGGCCAGATAATATGAAGCTGGTTTGTATTGTCCGCTTTTCATACCTTGCGCCAGATCGTGGTGACACATACTCGTATTTTATTATTTTATAAAATGATTTTTCCGTATATTATAAAAATAAAGTCATATGATAATTAGTATTATCCTATATTTTATCTTTATAAACATGTCAAAGAGATATACGAGTATATTCGTAAAAATATAGATTTTTGCAGGGATCCTATTAAAGATAATGAACTTATCGCATTTTTATAGTTTAAATACTGATGGGGCTGACGTATCTAACTCCTGTAAATCCTCTTTTAAGTCAGTCCTTTTTTGTCTTTTGTAATCAAACACATTTATGTATTGTGTTTGGAAAAAAAAATACTCATTGGATTGGATAGCCATAAAAACAGTATTGTACTGCTAAGATGTGCGATATGTGACTGCTGCGTTGGAACTTAACACTTTTATTTTTCCTCTGCCATACTCGGTGTTGAAGTCAATTGAAAGTTATCTTGAAATTAGTACATTATTTATCATTTAACATTTATACTAACTTGTTTGTCCCATGTACGGAATTTGGATGGAGCCACTCTAATAATTATTTATGGCCAGGTATAGACGATGGCATTAACAACATAACCGAACGCTATGCGTTCTTATTTTGTTTTTAAAGGTATATATATATATTTGCATTCCCAATCCATACCATAATGCTGAACATGGCACTTGCTTGGTTTGCATCTGCAAAGTTATGAAAGCTCCAAGTTCAGAGCCGTCTGGCAACGAGGGCGTTACCAGTTCTACTTAGTATGTCATAGGATAAAGATGAAGGGAGTCATCCCATGTGATGCCCTGTTTTTTTTAGGGATTTTCAATAATTTTTTTCTACGACAAGCAAAAAGATAGAGCTTTAAGCTTATTATCATTTATAAACACCTATTTCGATAGTATAAATATAAAATCGCTCTTCCTCTACAATTCTGACTGAAACAAACAAAATTAATTAGAGTTGTTTTAATCCGTAAGAGTAAATGCATTGAATGGACTATTATCAAATGAATATACCAAAAATTGGACTTTTGGTAGACATTTGAAAAAAAAGTTGCGAATTTGCGTTTTGGTTTTTTTGTTTTTTGCTAAAAAAAACCGAAATTTTGGGAATTTATACCCTACAAATTTCAAGTCATTCGGTCAAGCCGTTTTTGAGATACGAGTGAGGAAAGTTTGAAAAACACAGCTTTGTAAAAAAGTCCACGGACATTTTGAATTTTAAGAATGTCATTTGGGCTTAAAAATGCACAGCCATTTTCCAAGGACTGATGGTTGCAGTTTTCGATCTTCACTTCTATGCAATAATGTCCATTATGAAAATTTTGTATTTATTTTTTTCTAATTCTTTCTTTACAGCCAGCTTTTATTATTTAAAAATGGTGTATTTTTTTTTTTAAACATTATTTTACTACTGATATGTGATGGTCAAATAGTGAAAATATTCGATTTTAAACGTCCATGAAACTTTTCCAAAAAGATTTGCGAGTGTTTAATTTCTTAAGATAAACCAGGATTGTTAATGTTACCCTAAAGTAAGAGTATTTAATGACCGCCCTTACTGCATATAGATGAGTTTTGGTTATAAGTCGAATGACTAAAGCTCCAATTCTATCTAAACATATTAAATTAAAAAAAAAAGTTATTAAGTGTCAATAAAATAATCAATACAATGTTCCCACTTACAGAATGATTACAATAAAAATGTTCAAACTTTTTCCACACCTTGCAACATGCCGCAATTCATAAATAGATTATGAAGAAATATTTAGCATATAAGCAGTGAAAGCTAATAACGGCCAACGCTTTAACCGAATCAATAAAATACCCATGTGAAAGTCTCACATATGTTTTTCCATAATAATCATGATAAAATTTCACTGAACTGTTTGCACATGGACACGCTTGCAACAGTACCATATGAAACGCATTTTGTGAATAGATCTTCACAGATCATCTCCACTATCGATTTTTTTTTTTTGACGCGAGTACACACCACAGTTGAAAGCTTTTCGTAGTTTTAGTATAAACAATTTTTTGTTTTTATTTAAAACGCGATAACATATCCTTAATGGGTGATCGAAAGCGATGAAAATCAAGTCCATGGAATCCTAGAGCCGCAATGGTTACTATATATTATTATATATTTCTTCCGTGGATGCTAAAACAACAATTAATGAGAAGAGAGCATCGCAGAAGAACTCTAAAATTAAAGTAAAATTGTTTCTTGCCAATCTCCAATCCAACCATTTGAGCACATTTTTGTTTCGTGCGCTTTATTTAGTCACGGTTCTTTTATGAAGAAAGCTAACATCGTGACAGAGAGCGTTGATAAAGACTGCAGTTGTTGGTTGGTTTTGCTTACCGTCTATTGTTGTTGCATCATTTAAGTTTCTCTTGTTGTGATTGTGGTGTCAGATGGGTTATTGCTTCGCCACCGTTGCTGTTCTTGTCTTATCTTGCACAAATTAGACAACATTTCAAGTGAACGCTAAGCGGTAGAAATCAAGTTATAACTACAAACATTAACATAACAGGTGTCCCAAGTAAAGAGATCTGTATACAAAGCCTAATATTTGTGATTTCGAATTTTACAGGATACACATGGAAGTCATGTCTTAAAAACCGACTTTGCTTTACATTCAGGCATGACAATATAAATACTTCCTGCGCTTCTCCCAATGGCGAACACGAATTCTCCAATTACGTCGTCAGATTCCGAGCGCACATTGACTTCGTTTTCTTCCTCGCTGAAATAAAGAGGGTAAATCATTAATTTTTGTTTGTTTTTTCCAATGCTTCGTTTTTTTGGAAACCTTAAAAACGATATTTGAAATTCGCATGAAGGACGCGAGTATTCACCAGAGATTTCGAAATTTTATATTTGAGGTATCTTCAATACTATTTACTCGGCAGCTCACAAGTCTAAAGAAACTGATAGGTGGCAATTTCAAATATTAACAAGATACATTTTGCATTGGGCAGCATGGGCATATAGTCCGTATTAGCTTTTATCATGGCTCAAGTTATTCCATGTTGTTTCGTTGGTGTAACCTCTTTTTTTTGCAAACAATATGTGTCTAAATATAATGTACATTTTTAAATATGGTTAAAACAGAACCCTCCACTCTGGCACTCTGGCTGCAAATAGAATCCCCTTTTCTTTACTATGCTCTAGAATAGATTCGCTGGAAAACGTTTCTTTAAATGCGCTCTCTAGGGGAGGGTGAATCAGGAGCGTTTGTATTGATTAAGGTCGGTAAGCATTTTGTAGGTTTCTCAAATTAGCATAGTCTTAACTAAAAATTTGCCATTCTAACACAAGTTGTTTGTGCCGTATATGACAAATATTATTAATGTAAATGGACTGACCACTTTGTAGGTTTATAAAAATGTTTCATCAATTTTTTTTTTGTTTCAAATAAAATATTGGAACTAATTAATGGAAGGAAGTAGCAGTGTCAATATTAAAAAATTCGTAATTGTTGCCCGGCATTCTTAAGTACATATACAAAATTAAAAGCGCAAAGAAGCAAACAGTTTCAATAGCAAACAATGTGTGTATTCTTAAAATGCTTATGGTAGCTGAAAATGTACATATGTATGTGTGTTTATTTAAAAATCTTGAAATGATTTTCAAAAATAATGCAAACGAACAAATTTTCCTTAGATGTAATTTAGTAAAAAAATAGTTTTAGATATGTACTTCAAAGAACTGTAAATGGTATTACTTATAAATTATGGTAAGCTAGTGATCGAGAGTATGTTTCAGCAACCAGTATTAAGCGGAAAAATATTAAAACCAAATATAGAAAAAATGTGTGTATACAACTCGTAAAAATCGCAAATAAATGCATTGTTTCAAATTTTAGAAAGAAGTCACAAATTATCGTTATATATATTTAAAATTTAAATTTAATATATATATTAATTGCAATTAAGCAAATTAAAACCAATATAGGAATGTACCAAAGTCTTAAAATAAACATAAGCAAATGTTAAATTAGAAAGCAGAAATATAAAAAATGTCGCAAAACGAAAAAGTTTCAAGAAAAATATAAAACGAATTGGATTTAGTTGTAAGAATGTAAAAGAACTACCATAATATGTAACATAAAATAATAAATAAATAAATTAAAAATTTCACTTTTCATTATCACAGCGAGAGATTGGTAAGTTCGGTCTATACAACTGAGTATTATCTATTCGCATTTTGATAAGTAGTAGTATTAATGTATAAAAATGTTCGGTTACATTCGAACTAAGCCCTTTTACTTGTTAATACTAGGTATCGTCTGCATTTCAACTCTGCTGGTATACGTGGGTCAAGTTCAGAGAAAATATCTTGAGCGTTTTTTTTTGGAATCAAAATGTCTTTTTAAAATAATATTTTTCCGGATACGGACAATTTTTGAATGAAAAGTTATGTTCGCTAAGGAAACACATACAAATGTTATCGCTCAGTCGCCTAGTTTGTCAAATTAGGCTCTCTGTGACTTTGACTGTCCTAAACACACTATATTATTATATACATATTATAAATACATATGAACATATGTATGCATAGACATTTGAATGAATTAAGTATAGATTACATACCTACACAAAAAGAATCTATATTTTTTTTGTTGGCAAGTGTCTATATTACGAATTGGTTCATAAAAATTTTGAATGCGTTCTTGTTGTTATTGTAATTTTATATATTTTAATTATTTATCGGATATTTTGATCAATTATCGGCTTATTAGTAATAAAATTCAATTTTGCAGTCATGGTTAGGGTTCTCCGTCCCATTTTCGTGCATCACGTGACCCACTCTCAGACTTAAACGACAAGGTCTATCAAATGTTTAGTTTTATTCAATAATAATCTCGCCTTGCGTTTCAAAAGTAATTCGCATGCCCTCCGACACAATGAAGTCGCCAAATTCCTAGAAATTGGTACATTTTACCTGGGGAAGTGAATGGGATGTTGAAACATCTGCGTCACAGGTATTTTCTCAAAATGAACTCAGTGATTAAATACGTGATTAGATTGGCAATAATAAAGCAATTTTTTAAAGCGGTGGACTAGGAAGGATATTGTTTTAATTACAGTTGCTGAAATTTTACGAAGGTTAGTATGGAAAAGTTGAAATGTGGAATATTCGATTGTTTGCAAGTGCGGCAATTGATAAAAGATACAGATTTTATCAAAGTTATGACTATTCCGAAGAGTTAAGCTTGCAAAAGTTTATTGTTAATAGTCGAAATTTTCTTACGTAACCATAATACGCGAAATTCTGAAGATAATGAAGAAATTTTGCAAAATATGAGATTCTGCGAGAAAATATGAGTATCGAGTAAGACTGTATCTGCAATTATCTGGATAAATTTCCCTGGTTCCACCAGGATCTATAAGTGATGAAAGAAAAGTATTAAGGTTGATAGGATCGTCCCGTAATGGCAAATTATTGCTGGTCCCAAGAACAGATTGTCGACTGAAAATTATAAAGGAAAAGCTCATAAAAGGCGTTTATTGCGATATAACATATATTTTAAAAATTTGTCTCGGTTTTCTTCGATGTGTCCTTATTTTTCAAAACAAACTGTTATTAGAAATATATCTGTTATATTGTTTCATGTTTTCTAATTTTCGTAATGTAAATTGAAAATAAAGATTTAAAAATAAACGAGAGCAATCCTTACAAAATCATTGATAGTTTCACAAATATATCCGAAATTGATCTTATATTTAGAGCAACAAAATCACTGTAGACTTGTGTTTCGCAATCGATTTGAGAATTTTAAAATATGTGAAAATTACTGTGATTTTTCGTAGCTATGCGTGACTGAGGTGCTTTACTTAGTATTTATCCCTATAATGACCTACATTCAAACAAAAAATAAATTAAAACTTGACAAAATGGCGGCGTTTTAAAAAAGTGTTGTATTTTCCCAAACTTTTGGCTGCTTTTGCCCTGCCAAAGCTCGATTTGCGATCGGATCAAAAAAATTGTGGGTCATAGTATGTAGAACTATACATGACTGCAGTAATTATTCAAGCACACTCGATAAATGCTGTTTCTTTTAATTTCTCACTAGGTATTCTCCTTAATTCGAGTGAACATTAAGGTCAAAGTTTAAGGAACATTTTAACGGACATCCATGGAATAATACGTATATAATTTTATGCTGTTACAGCAATTATTAGTGCATGCCTATAGACATACATAAATTAGTTCACTGAAATTATAAAATCTAAGAATAATCAAAATGAAAACGACAAGTAGTTTTACATATTTTTTATTTTAAAGGAAAAATTACATAAGAGCCTGCGCGTGGGCGAAGCAACCGCTATATAATTTAAGTAATACAATTACATTTACGCTTATATATAATTATTAACATAACAGAAACAGAAATGGTGAAACTTTTCAAATAAAAATTTATCGAAAACAACATTTTTCGTTTTTTTATTGCATACATATGTGCATATATTAATATTGCTGTATGTGTGTATGTTTGAAAATATCTAGTAAATTCGGTAAGTTCTATTAACACGTTTATTTAATATATATTAATTTTACATATTGTTTGACAATTTTCTGTTTTTATAAGACTATATTGTATTAATATTTTTTTTTTTGTAATTTGCGATCATCATATTTTTTGTTATATACTTGTACACTACATTCATGCGAAATATTCATGTTTGTATGCGTGTACTTGCACACGTTTATAGGCAAGCATTTTGGATAAAAACATGAAAATATTCCAATGAAACGAATAATTTCAGCTTACAAAGCTTAGGCTTACTTAGCTTTAAAATATATAATATATTTATTTAATTATGCTATTTTTCTTCTTTCTTTGTTATGTTGTAAATGAAAAATATAATTTTGACAAATTCAAGTATAGTTTTTACTTTTCTGGTAAAACAACACATTACAATATTGATGAGTTAAAAAAATTAAATATATTTTTGTGTTATGAAAATATACTTAGTATAATGCATTTGAGCCGTCTAAATTGAACAAACTTTCTTATTACTCATAACCATTTAAACTAGAATTGATAAAATGAAGTCATTCTTATTGACGTTAATTCCGCTTCTGTTTTTTCTTTGGTTTTATTGATTCTGTTCATTATATTGCTGCAGATCTCCATGATTTTTCACACTTTCCTCTCCCATAAGCAAAGTAACTTAATATTTAACAGAAATTTTAGAATGATTAAAAGGTATGTAACATAACTATATACTTGTAGTTATAATAAATTCTTGTTAGAAAATGAAAGCGAACATAAAATTTAAATAATAATAAACTACCTTCGAAGGCAGAGAAGCATTAGACAGTATGGCTTATTAGAAAAGGATAATGAAAAATAAACTTGTCATTAATAGTTTATTGTTTAATGCACGTATACCCAAATATTACATACCTATAAATTTTATTTTTTTAAATTATCTTTTTGAATATAACGAAAACTACAGTTGGGCAACGATTAAATTTTCAACACAATTATTCCCGTGCATATTAGAGTGGGTTGATTTAAAGGAAGCAAAAATAAAAAACCGAGAAATCACGTATGCCGAACAATTATTTAAGAGAACATGTGTCTCTTTGAGCTTTTAATTGATATTTATATTTAATAAAATGGAAAACATTTTTCGAATGCGGAATCAACTTTAAAAATGTTTATAAAAATACGCTTAAAACTTATTTTATGCTTTTTTGTATGGGATATACCTATGTTATACATAGATAGTTGTTTGATTTTCCTTATTTTCACTGTCATTGTGACGCATGTATTAGAGAACAGTTCTACAAAATTACGAGCTCTTAGTGTTCTAATTAAAGGCAGCCTACCGAAAAATAAAATATCTGAATAATTGGTTGTATGGGAGATGGGATATAGTTGTCCGATCTGGTCGATTCCGACAAATGATCAATTGTATGTATTAAATTTCATTCGGATATCTCAAAAGGTGATGAAGAAATTTTTATAATATAATAAAGATAAACTTCGCCGTAAAAATCGCTGACTCGAAACCGGTTTTAGACCCGTAGTTTCTTAGGCAAAATTGTTCAGAACGATTCGTAGAACATTTCTTGCATACGCGATTTTATAGAAAAAATTGACTCTAGTCTAATCGCTAAGTGTATATGCCTATCCTATCTTCTTGTATATTGCATTATTTCCAATTTGAATTCTGTCAAATGAAAAATACTTGTAATTCATGGTTATCGATAAGCTAGCATGCGTAAGCAAACAAACTGAATGAACAAAGTTGTGATTAATCGATGAGCTACAGGTGCACTATATGTGTACATTTGGTACCATATTTTGCACACTTCCTATGCATTTAGAATCCGCCAAAAAATCGAACCTTAAGTGCATACGTATGTTAATATTTATGTGTAGTGCAGCAATTTGCTTAAGCAAATTCATTATGACAGTATCTTTAAGAATCAGTATTTATGCATTCATATATAATTTTTTTTCATTCTAGGTTTATTTATATTTTCTTCATTGTTATACAAACATTTTTAGCTGATACAGCATTTTTGTGTATTGATTAGAGTCTATGAATAATGAACAAAGGATATTATTAATTTTATTGCAAAATCTTTATACAGTATAATGCATAACTCAATAATTTTGTCATGTTAATGATTTCTCCATAGCGTTACCACAGAGTATGTGAGTGAAATTGTGAAAAATTATAACTATAAGATTCTAAGAAAAAATCACTACTAGATTAAAAACTATTTAATATAACAGTTCGTTCGCATTACTTGTATCTATTAAAGTACACACGTATACGGAACGTGTATGTATGTAAAAAGTTTATATACAGGTGATTCGCATTTGTAGAGAGTTCTTGTTTAATTAAGAAACTCAAGCGAAGTACATACTAAAACAAAACAAAAATACAGCGTCAATTGAAAATCTCTTGTATTTTTCGCTGATTTACAAGTGATTAAACATACGTATGTACATAATATTATTGCATTAAAGTGGTAATTAGAACTAAATGTATATTTGTGTATATCTTCTGTACCTGTATGCTCGCGTTTATGACGAATTCGTCAGAAAAGTAACAAGAACCTAAACCAAATAATTTCTTATAAAACTCACTAATTCGATTGATGATAGTATAAAATGTAATGGTCATTGAGCTTCATTTAGTTTTAATGTATATACATTATTGATGGTATCTAATACATTCCACACGCAAACACATTTTATAGCAACGTCTTTATATTATAATTGTGTGCCAAAACCATTTTGGACGAAAACCGAAATTCTCCTTGGTTCCATAGCGGATTATAGTCTCTATTTTTGGAACGCGCCCAACATTAGTTTACATGCGTCAGTATATCTTATAAATTATTGCTAAAACTAACTGCGGTATTTCCCTATAACGCTGCAATTTATTATTCCCACTTTTATGAACGCACCGCAACTTGCCTCTAAGTGTACTTAAGATATCTGAATATTTTACTTTTCGTTATTAGCAGCTGGTTAGGCTTGAATGGTTGGATGGTAGACTATCGAGCTGGTCTAGTACCAGTACAGTCGGTCTGCCACTTTCCGCTATTATCCAGCAGTCAATGCTGGGAGGCACTTCTCCACCTTAGGCGTGTATCTTGTGTCACGACACAGACGTTGCAAAGAACTCTTGCAAACGCTGCACGGTGCTACGGTCAAGCTTACATAGATCGAAATCGAAAGTTTTTGCGGTAATCTCATAACAGCCAGTGGCAGCGATCATCTCGACTACTTGCTGCAACTCCTCATTGTCCTGTAGCGTCATTATTTTATGATGTAATTCCTGTAATTCACTCAGATATTCAGTTGGCAATGCCGGTGTCGGTGTTGAACCATTGTTAGCGCCTGCTGCCTCTGCAGCCAACGCTCCCACCGGTCCTGTCGGTGAAGCTGGTCGCAATGGATGAGGTGGCGCAAGTGACGCTGCCGCCGCTGCACCTGTCGTCGATGCATTTACAATGCTATTAGTATTTAAACTAGCGTTGGCATTACTGGCAATAGCTGCAGTAGCTGGAGAGCTGGTTACACTAGTACCGGTCGTATTGTTGGGTGGTGGCAAAAATGCGCCACCACTATTCAATGCATCAGTGGTATTAGAATTGCTGTTTTGCGCAGTCGCATTGGAGCTGTTACTGCCATTGTCGTTGCCATTGTTGATGCCGATGGGACCACTTATACTTGCTGCTCGACTTTGACGCAATGCGGGAGACTTTGTTTGTTCGCGGGCCGCCTTATTAGACTCTTTTTTAGCTTGCTTGAGCGGTGGTTCTAAGAAGGAGTTAGCGGATACGGTGCTCGCTGCAACGGAGCTTCGCCGACGCTTCTTTTCTTCCTTTTCAACCTTTTTATCAACTTTTTCGGTCTTATCACTAATATCTTTCGTTTTTGAATTACGTTCGCCGCCGCGCTGCTTGTGTTCTTTGGTGATAATACTAGTAATCTTGTCTGGCTTTTCTGTTGGTGTTGCATCCGATTTGGTACTTAGCGATGTTACTTTGCTGGGCGCAGGTGGTTTCGGCGTTAAGTCCGGAAAACTGCTGTTTGAACTATCTGAATGCATAACGACCGGTGCGGTGTCAGTTGATGTGGCAGTCGCTGAATTTGTTGCAGATGTTGTCGTCAATAAAGCAGCGTCTTCTGGTAAGGACACCTTGCCAGTGTCATTGGCGTCAACGGTTTTGCTGCTGGTATTGCCTGTAGTATTTGAAGCAGTCGCAGTTGTATTGGTGGTTGCTGGTATAATGGTTCCAGCGCTTTTGTTACCATGCTTACTACTGCCTCTCGATTCTAATTCACCCGATTCGCTTGAATTTCGTTTCTCCTCTTTGGATGATTTATCTTTGGATTTCCTATCTCTGCTTTGTGACTTCTTAGTTGGCGCAATTGGTACGGATCCATTGGCATTGTTGTTTAGGCTATTGGAATTGGTAGAGTTGTTTGTTGAGTTCGAAAACAGGGTTACGCTATTCGATTCAGACTTAGGGGGTTCATTTTGGGGTGCTGTCGTCTCCGCAGTCAGAGACGCTGCTTTGGATCCGGTTATAGCTGTAGAAGCGACTCCCGTTGAGGATGCATTCCCATTCGAATTAGTTTCTGTGTGCTTTTCGGAACGGGGCTTCTCCTCAGATCGGTCTTTATCGCGCTCTTTCTCTTTTTCCTTCTCTCTTTCTTTGTGCCTCTCCTTATCACGCTCTTTTTCACGTTCCTTATCTTTTTCCTTGTTCTTATCCTTTTTCTTGTGTTTATGAGACCTCTTTTCCTTATCCTTTTCTTTATCTTTGTCCTTTTCCTTCTCTACCTTTTCGCTTTGATTATTTGAGCTGGTTGGTAGTTTCTTATCTCCACTGGTAGTCGCGGCATTCGCACCACTTACTTGTGTAGTTGTTGGATTTGTCGATATTTTGTCTATATTTTTATCATTATTCTTCCCTTTAACTGCTTCTGTTTTCTCTTTCGCATCTTTATCTGGTTTCTTGATGCTGAAATTTGCTGGTGATTGCTGGCCCTTGTTATCTTTAGCTTCATTCGAAATAACGTTTCCACTTGGTGTTGTAGCCATCGTCACAGCATTGCTGCTGCTATTTACTATATTTCCGTGGCGTTCTTCTTTTAGATCTCTTGACTTCCCATCCCCACTACGATGTTTTTCTTTATGTTCATCACGTCGCTCTTTATCGCGTTCCTTGTCCTTGTCTTTGTCTTTCTTTTCTTTCTTAGACTTTTTACCACTTGAAGTGGACTTTTCTTCGCGAGACTTTGATTCTTTCCCCTCAGTTTTGCTACTACTACCAGCTGATTTAATATCCTCTACACGTCCGCTTGCGGATGAAGATGATCGCGGCGGTGTGGGCCGCTTTGGGCTCGGCGCACCAGCATCGCGGGCATTCGTCTTTGGACTTAGAGACCGTTTGGTGCCACTGCTTGAACCTTTCTCTCGACTACGCTCCCGCTCCTTGTCGCGCGATTTATCCTTTTTTGATTTAGACTCCTCACGTTTTTCATGTTTGCTATTATCTCCAGAGGATTTCTTACTTTCACTACGTGATTCCTTATTAGGGCTGGATGAGGACTTGTGCTTTTCTTTCTTATCAGATTTCTCTCGACTCTTTTCGTTGCTATTACTCGCCAACGTTGAAGAGTTTGTTTTTTCTCGATCTTTACTAGATTTTTCTTTTGCAATGGAGTTGTTTGAGTTGATATTTCCAGAGTTGGGTGTGACTGTACCTCCAGTTCCAGCACCGCTACCACTTGCGTTGCTTGTACTCGGAGTTCCCTTTCCACCAACCGTATTCAAACTAATATTTTTCCCATCAGGCGAATGTTTACTAGACCCGCTTTTAATTGGTGCACCAAATAGGTTTGCAAATGAATTACTCTTCGAATCATCTATACGAGTTTTGTGTTTTTTACCGCTATTGCCACCAATTGAGTCTCCGCTACTCAGCTTCGGCTTGCTAACCATACCACCGCCTTCGTCACTAATAACGGCATTTGGGGTGTTATTTGTAGATGGAACGGTGGCACCTCCAACCATTCCCGCGCCAGTCACTGGTATGCCACCACCTTTGAGCAACTTTTGACGAAAATCCTCCGAAACATGATCAAATACAAATTTCTGCACTTCAAAGCGATGATGTGGCGGCCCAGTCTGTTGCAAATCTAAGTCGTAAGTGAATTGTATACGCTTTGGCTCATCGCGATTGCGAAAATAAATATCGATCGGGAGCAAAAATCCTGCGTAACCGGACTCTGTTATCACGTATGGTGGCTTGTTGCAAACTGTTGGAAGAAAAGTATAGGAAAAGAATTAGAAATTATATTAAACGAAACGATAAGCAGGTAGGTGAAACTCAAATCTGAGGTATGCACTAGTATGTAACTTCTTATTTTACTAAACAAACAATTTGAACTCTTCTTACATATATTGGTTTATTCAAAAGGCATCTTACACTAAATTACTTATTCCCAAAGCTCTTATGAGAAAAATTAGGGAAGGCAAATAGAAACTTTCCCTGAAGAATTTTAATTGCTTTACCTGTTTCCCAACTGTTTCTTGATAAGTGAATAAACTAATAAAATCAAATTCAATTTTAAGTACGATATTAATTTTATTATGTGTAAAAATCACGATTATCAATAGGCAACATGATAAGGGTTGAAACGCACACAGCTTCTATTATAAAGAAGTGGCTTTTGGTTGAGTTGATAACCAATTAATGCTGTAAACACTAATTGAGGTGCCAAATTTTAGCTGAGGGTGATTATAGATAAGTAGCACTTACATAGGTATGTGTATATTGTGTACAATCATCAGACTTATAATAAATAAAATGGAGGGAACGCATTAGAGAATTAGCAGCTATTAATGTAAGAGGCGTTAATTTGTTGAAGACAGATTTCAAGTAAGAAATCCGTAAACACTGTACATACTCGAAGGCTTAAATACTACAGTAATTAACCGATTTATACTGATTTATTTAGTTTTAGCAGAGAGTGCATTAGTTAAGTCATTATTATTTTCATTAAACGATTTCATGTATTGAAGTACACTTATATAAAATAAGCAAATTACTTTTCCTTTCTTTTTTCTTCCTACATTGTCTATCAGTAAATCGTTTTAATGCGGGTTCTACAATAACCAATCGTCAAAGAGCGGCCAGCTAAAAACAAAACACAAAAAGAAAAATTGTTTTCGCTGTTAACGAGAAGTTGTCTTTTTTGGGTTACAAAAGTGTGTAGAAAAACAAAACGAAGAATTGGGATAAAAAAAAAACAACCAAATCAAGTCAACAAGGATTAGTCTAGAGCGAATGCTACGCATCCCTTATATTCGAACGTCAACAACCACCCTCTAAATATTGTATTCTACCCTCCAACAAATTTACAGATACATCTATTCACCCAACCCCTTCCGAGGCTATGGTTTGGATCACAATATAAACATACATACATATAAAAGAACACACATTTAAGCATATACATACAAGGTAGTTTGTGTGCGTTTTATATGTTATATTATCATTATTTGCATATATTTAAACGAATAAATTGTGCTATTTACCCCTCTTTGGCTTTGGAAAAGAGTCGTGTAAATTAAAAACGACCTTGTCAACGTAGGTGCTGATATCTGCCTCCTTAACACCTCGCACGTACAATTCCCAGTCATGGGTAAAGCCTTCTGGTGTTTTTTTGTTTCGCAGCCTCGCTGTATGACCGATCTCGAATTGCACTTTCACTGCCATCGCAGTGGATGACAAACTAGATAATAACTATTAATTACCACCAAGAACACTCCAGTTGTTCAGCAGTTGTCTTATTGACCAAATAATAATATGGTTTATATACGCCGCATGCAGCCACTTCTCTTATTTACACTCTTATGTTTCAATCTATCCTATTATCTTCGGTTCAATTTATCTTGATGAGGACGAAATCTCCAATTGGTGTACCAATCTTAAAAAAAAAAAAGAAAAAACACACATGTCATTAGTACAAATCCCCTAATAGCAATAATGGTATAAGTCGAAGAAAATAGAGTTATCCGAAGTAAAACATACAAGAAATTAAACACGGTGCAGGTGGATTATACATGAAAAAATTGGTAAATAATGTTTACAGCGAACGCAGGTAAACTTTAAAAAATTAATATACTTCATAAAAAAAATGTATTAACGAAATAAAATTAATTAATTAATAAATGAAAACGCGCCGACGCGTATGGAATTCACTGATAGTAATTGTGATGTATTTCTAGTTTGGCGGCACTGTGATAATTAAAGCACGTAGTCTTCCAAAGTGCGGTACATAAAGTGTTAGGCAAAGCACTAGCACCAACAACAATTATAAAAATAAAATAAAAATATTACAATTAAACATTGTTTATATGTAGTATCCATTTTTGCTCATTTAATGAATATATGCATATTTCATTCAATATTTTAATGTTTTTAATGTACGCACGGTTTTATAGTGAATACACACAAAACTATTTTTTGTCTAGCAGTTCCGACGTCGACATTGTGTCTCCCCAGAATAACACAGCATGTTGGGAGTTTTTACATAGATAGTTAACACAAACTTCACCGTTGGACGCCTCGACACATTTCAGATCATGTTTTAAGAGTTCTCCGTTTTTTCGGTATTAGCTCAACGATAATATATCACGGCTTGACACCATTATTACCACATTTTTGGTAAATCTTACTTCGGCGTGCTCACCTTTTCAATTGACTACCGCTGCTTCTGCTACCGCTGCTGAGGCTGCTGCCCCCACTCACTTTTTCACTTCGATTTTTCACGTTCTCTTATTACTTTATTTCCCTTTGCGCTCATATGTGTTTATGAGTTATTTATTATCAATATATTTTATTTGAATACTTTTCTTTTAAAACTTTAGAAAAGTTATCGTAAACTATGTTTCTTTAATTGCTCTAAATTTTTACTACAAACGAATTTTCAGTAACTTCACAACGACCTATTCTACGCTCTGCTCGCTGCTCGCTGCTTACGCTTCTCTTCATTACTGATCTACTTCATAATTTTCTATTTTATTTTATTTGCTTTCATTCTGCTTTATCTCTGCTTTCTGCCTTACCCTCATTTGTTCTTCCTTCTTGAGTTGCGATTGGCAATGCTGCGGAAAATTGGGAAACTTTGCTAAATAAGGAATAAATTAAGGCCAACCCATTTTTTTTACAATTTAAGTAATACTTGTTTGTAATTAACTAACACACTTAGTAGTTAAAGATATCCGTTTTATTTTTTAAATTTCAGTATTTTGTATGATATTAAACCATATTATCTTTCAAATATCCTAAAAGCATAATAAATGTTTCTTTCCTTGTGGTAACACTGTACGGTGTTGCCTTTTTTATTTTAATATAATCAACACAAAATTTAATGGCATCACAGAATCAGCTGATTCATCACAATAAATTCAGTAAATTTTATAAAATAAAAATATGTATTCCAATATTAGATATTTTCAATAATTTTAAACATGTGTGAAATGTATGCAGTGATAGCACAATTGGCAATTATATGAAATACTTGGAAATATGTTTTTAAAAATAAATCAAAGAAACTATCATGTTACAGATTTGATTGTACGTATCGCATGTGTCGCTTTGGTGATATATGGGATTATGCCATGGCGTTTTGCTTCCCATTATGAATATTTACATCGAAATGAAATACAGCGCGCGCTTGTTGAACAAGTTACGAGCAATATTTCCATGCAACGTATGCCGCCATGTGAATACAGTGATATCTTTGCAGATAACGTCATCACATATCGTTCGCAATATCGAGAACATGTGATGCGAGGAGAAGAAATTTTACCTGGCGGCGAATATTTTCCAGAGGACTGCAGTGCACGCTTTAGTACGGCAATCATTGTGCCTTACAGAAAACGTGAGGAACAACTTCATGCTTTTCTTACATACATGCACAATTATTTGCGGCAACAACGTATTCATTATCGAATTTTCTTAGTTGAACAGTATGACCAGAAGCCTTTCAATCGCGCAAAATTATTCAATATTGGCTCAGTAATTGCAGCAGAACTTGAATTCCCATGTTTAATATTGCATGATGTCGATTTATTTCCAATGAACTTGGGACAACTGTACGCCTGTACCCAGAAGCCACGTCATATGAGCTCAGCACTAGATATTTTCCGTTTCACATTACCTTACCGAGGACTATTTGGAGGTGTTGTAGCCATTCGTACACATCAATATCGGTTTATTAACGGAATGTCTAATTTATTTGAGGGTTGGGGAGGTGAAGATGATGATTTTTTCAATAGATTATATTCGCATAAAATAGATATATGTCGCTTTGAACCAAGCTGCAGCACATACACGATGATGCGTCACAAACCTGAGAAGAGGAATGAAGCTCGCTTAGGACTGTTACGAACCGGATATAAACGCTTCCTTACAGATGGATTAAATTCACTTATTTACACAGAGAAAGAACGTCGCTTGCATAGCTTATTTACCCATATTTTGGTTGAAACGTGAATTGATGAGGTTATGTCAGAAAGGTTAACCAAACAACTTTATAACGTTCGTCCGTTGAAAATAGTTGAAAAACAAATAAACAAAAAGGCTTGTGGTTGTAGTGATTAACGCTATAACGTAGAGATATATACATATAAATATTTTTAAGCTAATATCTACAAATGCATAGAAATATGCCGATTTTTAGTATAGAAAAAACGCGCGCCCGTACTATTCGCACAAATGCACACGCACTGGAATGAACAATTCCGCGGCTGCAAAATGCTAATCAATATTATATATAGACTTGAATACAAATGTAATTATGTCAGGTGCTTTAAATTGTTTTAAATTTAGAGCACAAAACAAGTTCAATATAATCTTATACCTAGATATAATTAAATCAGTTATAATAATAAATTGATGCTACATAGAAAAAATCTCGCAATATAGCTATAATTTATCCCACTTCTCGACTTTTTAGTAGCTCTCTGGATTAAAATTTGATTTCCAATGGGATCACGATATTTAATTGTATTAGCGTTTGTTTTATTTTATTTCGAGGTATTTGGATAAGCAAATGTAGATGTTTAATTCCACTGAGTTCTTATTAACTTTAGTTCTTTAATGCTTTATAAATAATTTTTTATACACCAAGTTAATTTGAAATTTCGACTTATGTATGTTAGAATATTATATATAATCATATAGATATATAATACTCGTACACATGTACTCGTAAGGAATATATATATATTTTTTAATTGTTTGGTAACTAGTGTATAAGCATGTTTATTCTAAGTTTGCTCCCAAACATTATTCCGTATCCATTCAATGTAGTTATACACTCGGGTATAAATACCCGGTTGGTCGGGTGTACCACAGCCAATTCCGAATGATGTTATGCCAACAACGGTGTACATACACGGATAATCGGGATGGTATGCTAATAATGGACCGCCCGAATCACCGCTACAAGTATCTTTTGTTTCATTCGAACCAGCACATATTTGTAAATGATCCTCCACACCCTTGGGAAGTTGATCCACATCCGAAGATTCGGTAAGACGTTGACATTGATCGAGGCCCAGCCGATCGAGTGTTACTTTAAGAAGTTTTTTCGAATCAGATTCGGCGAAACGTGTGCTTCCCCAACCAATAGCCACCAATTTTTGAAATTCGTTCCCAGATTTGGTGGGCAAACATGCAGGATGTTTATATGCATCAAAAGTTACAGATCGTTCCAGTTCTACGAGTGCTATGTCATTGTAAATTGTTGCACTGTTGTAGTCTTTATGCTCTATGTAGCGTCGAACACGGAAGTCCTCTGGCCGCGCATCATCCGATTCTCTGCCAAAGTCCAAATCTCCTAACCGCACAATGTTTACTTCGCCACTGTGAAATTTAAGAGGGAAAAAGCTGTTTTATTTTATAAATAAAAAATTTAAGTGCAAGCGAAAATATGTAATTCATAATGTAAGTTGTTAGTCTGGCATTTTATTCTAGCAAAGATGTTGCTTACCTATATAACTTCGATGATAACCTATGATGTAGCTCCTATGTGTATATATACTCATATATATATATATATATATATATATATACATACATACAATTATAAATATATATATATATATATACATACATTTATAAATATATATAATGTATACAAGATTCGCACTTACCGGTTTGTTGTGAAACAGTGCGCTGCAGTCAAAACAAATTTCTCACTTATAAGAGTACCTCCACAAAACCATTCGGTTGGCTTATTTTTACTTTCGTGACCTAAACGTGCAATGTGCGGAAATTCTTTGGGGCTCGCTGGACTTCCCCCTACTATGAGAGGAGCATATGGTTTACAATTATCTATAGTAAATTTCAATTCTTCGGCTCCATGTATAAAAGCACTAAACGTTTTCACCTCTTCGAATATTTGTCGTTTGACGAGAGTACATTCTAAAAAAAAAATTAACGGAGTGAAAATAATACTGCCTCCAATGTATACACATTTGCAATACTTACTTCTTACTTCAGTTTGAAGGCTATTTTGTCCTCCAGCGATGTTCCACTTATTTCCAAAAACCCATAAAGTGAGTAGCACTAGTGCCGGTGAAATTTCTTTGAACTGATGCATATTATAAAAACAATTTCTTTCTAACGTTTTTTGTAACAGTGAAGCTCAACTGTTGGCGCTTCACTAATCTGCGTTTGCACCATATCTACGTACACATGCATCTTCTAATTCCGCTGAGCAGAGAGACTTACTAATGCATGCACTCGTCTATGCTATATTTATACATTTGCTATTCCTGATTATAATTTTTCATCTCTGTAGTTAATCTTTTTTTGTTCGTCCCCCTTTAATTAAAAAAGGGGTTCCATAGCTCTCTTTCATACTTTTCTCTCTTTTTTTTCAAAAATCCAAGCCCAAAAGTTCTACCTTTTCTATTACTTGTGAAAAAACAGTTTACATCATATTTGGTTTCGAACCAAACATACAACATTCTGGTGGTAGTTGTTCTCTTGTCTTGATGCCAATATTCAAAAGATACAAAACTTTCAAAATGAATGGAATGTTTACTTAAGTTAGGCTTATGCCAATAGGAATTTTTATATTTAAGAATCTTAAAAAAAAAAAAAGAATTCAGCAACAGATCAACTGTACTATCGCGATATGAAATTACGCTCGCTGATGAAAGCAAATTATAAACGATAATTCCTTGCTAAACTGGCAACACTAACGTGAAACTTCAAAACACGCATGTATGAAAAACAACAAATATGACTGCGACGCATACTTTCAACAAGGAAATCAACGATACGACGGCAGAAACAGAGGAATTAAAGCAGCGCATCGTGTAGTACGCGCACATTTGTTTGTTTACATTTTATACATAGAATATAAATATTTAGTAACAAATAGGTGTATATAAAATAAATACAACATTGTTTCATTTGTGAAAATTGTTGGCGTCAGTACACTTACTTTGGGGAAATGTGCATCTAAGCAATTGATTTTTACATAATTACCAAAGGACGTCGCTTAACGCTGCACTTTTAATTGTTTTGTTTTGTGCGTGATTTTTTTGTGGTGTATCTACATATGCTAAACTTATAAAATATATGCTGATACTGTTGCTGAACAAGTTCCTTTGGACGTGACGATATTGCTGCATTGTGAAGAGCTTTTTGTTGTTGTAGCGGCAGAATTCTGCCGAGTTGACAGTCCTTGGTCGGATAAAAATCCAGGTCCGTTCCGGTTACGTAGACCCGACTGTGGTGGGAACGGTTGTGAAGAGCTTTGAAGTGCTTCATTAAAAAGGGCGACATAGCGAATGTGAAGATGGAGCTCAACACAGATGCACATAAAGGTGTGCCAAAGCCGTTAGAAGGCATTTCTTTTGGTGACAGTGCCGAGGGTATTCAGATAAATGAAAATCATGGCAATAAAGGATCGTATATAACAAGGGCTAAGATGAATCCTGCTAAAAGTGATAACGAAAAGCGAAGACGGAAAGATACAATGCGAAAGGTAATTGGTTATGTTAAATATACATATGTACATATAAGTAGTTTTGATCGCTTTACGTGACTAAATTAGAGGGTGGAAGTGCCAGTAGTGTGAGTTGGTGTTACACGAAGTTTAGAATAACAAAAACCACCCTGGGATGTCAAAATACGTGCAAGTGTACAGTTGTGGTATATATTTAAAGTCTCTTTCAATTTTAGATATCAACTATTTTCAAAAAATGCGATTCATTGTTGACGTCAGAAGAGCGCCAGTTATGTGAAAAATATCCGGATATTGTAAAACAAATAAAAAAACGAAAGGAGCGAGTTGAAATTTACAAGGACCGCATTGTTGAAAAAGAAGATGAACCGCATGTCATAGAGGCAAAGGTAGAAGACTTGGCGGCGATAATAGCACAGTCCAAACATTTAATTTGCTATACAGGTGCAGGCATTAGTACATCTGCTTTAATACCAGATTACCGTGGCAGTAAGGGTATTTGGACTTTATTACAAAAAGGTGAAGATATCGGGGAGCATGATTTGTCAGCAGCAAATCCAACTTACACTCATATGGCACTCTACGAGTTGCATCGACGACGACTTTTACGTTATGTTGTTTCGCAAAATTGCGATGGATTACATTTGCGTTCGGGCTTACCGCGAGCATCTCTGTCGGAAATACACGGCAACATGTATATGGAGGTGTGCAAACATTGCAAACCTGGTCCTGCAGTATATTGGAGACTGTTTGACACCACTGAGATGACAGCACGGTATTGCCATAAAACAAATCGACTTTGCCATTGCTGTTCAGAGCCACTTTACGATACAATTGTACATTTTGGTGAGCGTGGGAATCTTAAATGGCCCTTAAATTGGGCTGGTGCTTGCCATCATGCAGAAAAAGCTGATGTTATTTTATGTTTAGGATCTAGTTTAAAAGTGTTAAAAAAATATACATGGCTGTGGCAAATGGACCGTCCAGCAAAGCAACGGGCAAAAATATGCATCATCAACTTGCAGTGGACACCAAAGGACAGTATTGCAACAATAAAAATAAATGGTAAATGTGATCGGGTTATGGAAATTTTAATGCGCGCACTCAACATAACTGTTCCCGTATACACAAAGGAGAAGGATCCGATCTTTGCCCACGCATCCCTACTTATGCCAGAGGAGCTGCACACGCTGACACAGCCTTTGCTAAAAGGCGGTGGCGAAGTTTTGGACAAAGATACTGAGACCGCCGAAGATGAACCTGAAACATGCACCAGTGCAACCGAAGAAACTTTGGACTCAATAATGTCGGGGGACAGTGGGGCGGATATGCCGATAGGCAAAGGGCCGCGCATACGAACCCCCCTTAAGAGTAGTACCCGTATAAAAACGAATTTGAAGCTGAAATACAAAATTCCACGTATAGAAGTCGAAAGTGGTACCCAAAGTTGTGATGATGATGGCAAGAGTGAAAGAAGCGATAAAAGTTCTATAGAAGCAACAAAAAATAGTGATCAAACGATATACCAGGATACAATAAATGGAAAACAAAATACTCAAAAAGAAGCGAACGTTAATTTGAACGAAGATGTTTGTTCATTTGAAATTGATTTCTCAAAGTCGTCTGAAATAATGGATATAGTAGACAATCAACTAAATTTACAGTTAGATGAAAAAAACAATAGTAAAAGTATCAAGAAAGAGGTAATAAACGGACATTCTTCTAAAAAAGAGAAGTGCGACAGCGAAATTATAAAACCGTTGGGCCATAATGAACTGGATTTCACTATACCCTTAGATGTGGACATGAAACAAGAGCACGAAATTAAAGTGGAATTTGAATCGGACTTTTTAGTTACTAAACCAACAGCTGAGAATGTTCTAAATTCAGAGATAAAGATAGAGGATGATACAAGTGTAACCAACAAGAAGTTCACCTTGAACACAAACAACAACAAAGTTGCCTTAAAAAAGATGTGCTCCCTTAAAACCGAAGTCGATGAAGGGAAAGTAGATACTAAAATAGAAATTAAAACAGAAATTCCTTTTGAAATGCCTGCTTTAGTACCCATTAGGCAGAATAAGTCGTTTAATGTCGTTAAACCTGAGTTAACCCAGGTTTTGAGCACCATGGTCAACGTAATTAATTCTGATGATGATGAGTCCAGTTGTGAAAACGTTGTCGCCCAAATGGACATACTAAAATTAGCAAAGCAGGAGGTTCTCGAGGGTGCTGGTACACAACCTTACTGGCTGTTACGCAAATTACCTTGTTGGTATGACGTCAAGTATGCATATTCAGGTCTGCATAGTATTGTTTATCCGCCGCCAGCTGATATGAATATGTGGAACTATCAAGTAATACCCATATTTGCCATGAATCGATCTGCGGCTGCGTGTGATTTTTGCTTTGATAACTATGCCGAATTCGAGTGTCAGTTTTATCGAAAATGGCATCTTAATGAACGTAAACATAAAAAACGAGCACGCAATGGGCGTTTCGTGGTGTGTGAGTGCTGTTCATATTCAGATGAAGACGACGATGACTACGATGAAAATATTTCATTGGCACATATAGCAGCGGCTGAGGCGGCCAAACGTCAATTGCAGCTGAGCAATACTTTCCCCCGCAAATTGGCGCGCACACAAGCAGGCTGGTATGGCAAAGGGTATCGTAAAGCACGACGTCGAAAATAAAGTTGAAAACGGCGATAGTTTACATAAACTTTATGAGTATTTCATATAATTTAGGTAGACATAAGAATATTTAAGTTTTGCGGCTCAGTGTGTAATTTGTAGTTTGAATATAGTGTACACATATAAGCACAAGTAATTTTGTTACGTCTTCCGTGACTGTCTGTTGATTAGAATATAATCTAAAAACATATTTTATAACTAAATGAATAAGTTTTAATGTACTGAAATTTTTACCAGACGAGATTTATAATACTTAGCTGAGTCTCAAACGATCGCCCACACATAAAATATAATTATTTATATATGTCTCATACATATGTAAATTTTTTTTTGCTACATACAAATAATATTGACATCTTTATGGCAGCTTGCTATAGCTTAAGATATATAAATGTAAAAAGTAAAATATGATAAGAAAAATAAACGCCTATATATGAGTGTCAGCAAAGCTTATGTATTATGTATTTGATTTATTTATTTGCAATGTCGTTTAATATGAGCAAACTCTAGATGATCTTTTCTACTCACGTTAACTTCTAAATAGTTAACTATGTGCGCCACCGTGTCAATTCTGCCTTTCTGAAACTGAAACTTCAATAACTATCAGACGAGTATTTAATAACTTGTAGGTCTTAGATGTTTTCATGATTCGATATTTTTATTTTTATTTTTATAAGCTTTCTAAAGGATAATGTAAACGAATTTTTTTATTATATATTTTCTGTTTTTTAGGTAACTTAATATGTACTGATATATTTATATATTATTTAAATGTATTTAAATTTCAAAGTAATTTATGTTCATTATACCAACGTAATTCTATTATTCTTTTCACACGTATGTGCAACAAAATGTGTTCGCGTTTGTGAGATTTAGTACAATTATTGCTGATAAAAAGTTGATTTCTTCAAATATACTCATGAATCGACAAGTGTGCTCTCGTGTACAGCCTTTCCTTTTCAACGCTCAATTCACATTGCAATTAATGATATAAGTAAAAGACGAATAAAAATATCTGGCTAAATTCTAGTTTTATAAAATTTAAAAAAATGGTAATGAAAGGATAATTGATAACAATCGACTTAAAATACATACAATACATATACTATAAAATATACAATTTAATTAAAAAAATTTAATTTAATTTAAAAAATATATAAAAAACAATAAAGTAATATAATAATCGCCTAACTGTGATATACATATTTAAAAAAGTGGGAAAATGAAGCAGTCGTAAGTTGATAACCGAAGGCTCGAGTTATCTATAAGTAATACAATGGTGACTTGAAGTCAATGACAATGAATTTAATGTTCTAACTAGTATCGAATGTTAAACATAATTTAAGAACCAGCACATATAAACACTTGAAAAGAAATTGCAAATGTTTGGCATTGTAAATATTTTTAACCTATATATCTTAAACTAATGTATTACTATAGCATATTTAGGTATGTATTATAAATAGAATTCCACATTTGGACCACTTCATTTAAGTTATAAGGTAAAATTTAATTTTTAAAAGATCGTAAAAATGAAGTGATAATAGTCATACAACTTATCTCACTCTATGTTGCCCAGACTAATCAACTGCATATTCAAGCACTCATTAAGCCACATAAATGAATGTATTGATGTCATCATCATCACGTCGCATATACTTGTGCTCGATCAACCATTCCAGTTGCTCCTTAATCATTTTTTTCGATGGCAAAAACATATTCTTTAGTATATCAATCAACTCGGCCTGTAATGTTGCATTATTCAAGCGTTTGCGCATCTTCATTATTTTTATAATGGCTTCCTGGGTGCGTAATATACGCAACTGCACTATTGATTGATTGTCCTCCTGTTGCGAACGCTCTGTACTCAATTGCAAACGACCAATCATGTTCATCTGCAAAAGCAATTAAAATTATTGTAAGGCGATTACTAAAGCGAAATGTTAAATATACACACTTTTCCTCTTCTCTGTGCTTTGCCATTTTTCACAACAGCAAACTCTTGATTAACACTAAATAAAGTATTTTCTGAAAAGTCTTTCGGGGTTGTTATTGTTGCAGGTTCCATAAGTAAAATTTGTTTTTTCAGTTTTGGAAACGCCACAAGCGACCAGAGTGTTCGTCTGAGTTCGGGGTCTGTAGAAGATAGGAATGCAATAATAATGAAATTTTAATGGAGTGATTATAAAAAGCACACTTGCCTGGTAACTCTGTCGCTAAACGCAAATTTTCGTACGATATTTTATCATGCGGTCGCTGATTCCATGCGAAAAGTACGGCCATTTGAAAAGTAGTCACATCAAGGTCGTATCGACCAAAATTGTTTACAAATGTAATTGTACCATTACTCATGTGATGATACCATTGCAATTTACGACCACAAAAGTTTTTCTTATAAAACTCCTCCACGTCAGGAATGTAATCTTCCAATTCAAGGGGCAGACTCACTGAAACTCGTTCAGAGCATCGTGCCCAAGCACCGGCATTCAGAATCTTTATATTAATTGCATCGTGACGACCGGTGCAGTTTCGAAATTGAGTATTTAGATCTTCACTAAGCTGAAAGAAAAATCATAAGACATTTAGTTAGTTTAGTTTAGTTTTTCATTTATCTCTAGTGATCTGAACTCACTTTAATGTCTTGGAACATACGCCCTAAGCGATTCACGTAATCCGCTGGCATGCCAGCTTCGCGTAACCATTCAACAATATCCTCCTCCTTTTCGCTGTCAGCGCTGGTACTAAGTATGAGTCTGCAAAAGAAATAGGATTAATATATGGCCGGATGTTAATCTGGACTCGTTCCGGTTTGTGTTGTTCGTACCTTCTTGTCAAATGCACTTTGTGATAGCGCATAAATACGTCTTTATTGTTGACATATTTTAGAACTAATAGTACATCGCGTAATCGAGCATCGATTTGTTCGCTAGTGAGCTTCTTACTTAATGGCGTGCGACGCAGTAACATGTCGCAATAATTTGCTAAAAGTTCTGGACATTTACTCTCCGGAGTGATGGACTTAACGCCACGATTTGTTAGGCCGGTTGGCAGTTCGAGCTGTCAATAGAAAGTAAAAACTAAAAGTATATCAATATTTTGCATGCGATCAATGGAAATTTACCTTAAATACACTTGTATCGTTGACAACCGTCTTGAATGCTTTGTCACGCGCCGTTAGGAATCGAGGATCATCTTTGAAGGCATATTTTACTAATGAACTGAATTTATTGAAGAGTTCGAGCAGCCGCTCTACGTATTTTTCAGAGTCTTGGGTGATTACATCGGAGGCTGAGAGCATATCTGCTAGGCCAGCAGTAACAATGTGGCTCTCTAAGTCACGTAACATCGGTTCAACACCATCACGCACACGATCCAAGAGACGAAACATAAGATTTAGTTTTTCTGTTTCATATTCTCTTATAAGCGCAGCACACTCGGCGATAATAATGTTCATATGATCACCGACTAGTGCTTTGACACAGGTTTGAATCAGATCACAATAGCTACTTGGTTCAAGGTATCGTTTCGCACGAGTTTCTTCTTCGCGCAATTTTGCGTCTGCATATCTCATAAAAGCCAATACACCGTTTGCTTGCTGTTGTTCTGTTGTTTTTAGGCGATAGAATGCTGCAGTTGCCTTCAAGTAAGCTGCTTCAAAATTCTCCCTATAAATGTGAAGTTTATCGTCGGGAATAGAACATAAATTGACATAGCTTTCACGCACACCAATCACAAGTTGCGCATCATAAGCATCGCCGTTGCGTTCGGCATGCACAATTTTCATTGCCGATTCTTGTAAACGATCTTTTATATCACAAAATATATGTTCATTCCATGAGTCAAGCATTAGTTTTCGGACGATAGAATCTTCAGTGGTATTTTTTTTACTACTATTACTACTTGAAGGTGAGGTTGTGGAGTTTGCGGCGGCAGCAGCTGATGTTGAAGGACCAGCCGCCGTCGAAGTTAATGCAGTATTGGCACTTGTACTGGCGGCAGAGGAACTAGAAGCTGATGTTGCGGTGGACGTGGGCACCTTGAACTGAAGAGATTGCTCCAACTGCCGAAAAGGTAGGGGCAGGTAATTGGATTGTGTGAAGAATTTACGCCATTCTACAATGTATGTAGTGAGAAGCGCCTGTTCGCCGCGTTGTGATTGTACCTTGCGTTGAGCATGCACTATAAATTCGACAATATCTGCTCGCAAGCAGTCATAAATTTTTGTGGCTCCTTTCTCATCCCACAAACAAACCAAATGTACACCATAAAACAATTCCTGCCATTCTAATTGAGAAACTGTTTCTTGATTTAATAGTTTCAGTACTATAAGACGTTTTTCGGGCCATACTTCCTCAAAGGTCCTTAATCCTTTACCCTGTCCGATAGTCACCTATTGCACATAAAAATAATTGATGTATATGATCATTTCGAATCCTAATTAGATTTATTTTCATTAGGCGCACTTACTTTTAACATTGTATGTCTTCCGAAATGCGCTTTATTTCAAAGAAAACATTTATTAAACACTCTTTTGTTCTGCAAACTTTGACAAATTCGTGTAGAAAATGAGAGATATAAAACGAATTGGCTCAGCAAATGCAATTGTCAATTTGGGAATGTGCTCCATCTAGTGTGTATTAGTTACATGAACACCAGCTGACGGCAGAGAACGTATATATCATATATTGATATACGTTCTCTGCCTTCTCTATGATATACGTTCTCTGCGGCCGATTAGGAAATATAGAGTCAGCTGTAATAAAAGAAAATTTTAGTGCAAGACTATAATTTAGCATATATGTGACTGAGTAATTCCGAACAGGGAAACAAGACCAGATGCATGAAATTTTTGTTATTATAAAAACTTATCTGTCATCATTCGCAAATTCAGTTCTTGTTTAAAGTTGAGGATATTCAACACACCGTTCACAGAGATCGTATATCATACGTTCTCTGCGTTCACTCCCATTCACCCCCATTTTGATTACTAAACACATTTTTTAATGTTGTTGCCTAAACGTCAAACTCTCATGTATTTTGTATTCGTTTTCATATATTCGATTACTAGTTTTATTGGTATTTCTCATGACTGCTATTATTTTTATCTGAATTTTTGTTCTTTCGTATTCAAATTCCATTTTCATAAGTTAATTAATAATAGAGCAGTGTAAATTTTGGAAAAAAAAAACTTAAGGAATAAACGATCGAAGTGCAGAAAATAGCTGAAAAATGACAATGGGTGGTGAAACACCAACATCTTCTCTAATTTTTCCAGTATTGTTAAGGCCCATCATTGCGAAGGTTTGTATGCTCGCCGGAATATAGTGCAAGTAGACTGAAGATAATTACAACCGCAGTATAGTATAGACTATTGTATTTTAATATTTTGGCTTGTAGTTGGAGCGTCGAGATGTTGGGGCAGCACAGTCTCTGCGTTCAGCCATAATGAAATGTGAGCAAAATAACCCAGGTTTATGTTATGACCTCGTGGCGGCCATTATACGTCGTGCAGAGCTAAATGTTAATCTAAATGAAGCAGTGCTTCGTTTGCAAGGAAATATAGCCGAGTCGGATTGTAAGCTGAATTACAAACATGAAAATGTTTAGAAAATATTTATATCAAATCATACTTATATTGCAGTGCATGAGTATCGTCTTACACGTACTGAAGAACCATTCCAAGAGCTAAACCGCAAATCGGTTGCCCTTAAAGTCATACTGAGTCGTATACCCGAAGAGATAACCGATCGAAAAGCTTTCTTGGAGACCATTAAGTACATATGAAATATAATCATGTGTAGATGTAATAATTATAATTTTTCAAATTACATAGGGAAATTGCCAGCGCCATAAAAAAGCTATTGGATGTGGTTAATGAAATCGGATCCTTTATACCAGGAGTCACAGGCAAACAAGCGGTTGAGCAACGTAAAAAGGAATTTGTAAAATATTCCAAAAAATTTAGCACAACGCTTAAGGAATATTTCAAAGAGGGACAGTGAGTATACATATATTGCATTGGTAGATTTATAATCATAATTTATTTGTAAAATCACGTTTGTGAATAATAATGTTACGACAGACATGCTCACATGTAATTCGACTGATATTTTCATATGAAAAAATAATACAAAATATCTTATATGTCAATTTCAAAAATTATTTAAAAGAATAGAATTTTAATACTGTACTTAATGCTTATCACACTATATATGTTTGGAAGTCTTATCATATAATTAATTAATGTCACTGCCATTTACAATAAGAAATTCGGACACACTTGATTAATCATGTTGTCATGAAGAAATAGATAATAGGGGTGAGTTAGAAATTTAATTCCCATAGGAGTTATGGAAAAATCTTAGTCTGATGAAGTGTTTAAATTAGTATTTATATTTGGAAATTTAATCTCGTTCCCAAAAAAATTATTATTATCAAAAATGTGTTTTCCCTTATTCTTCGATATAAATATATATGTCGTTGGGATTTCTGGAAAATGTATTACTTATACTGAATTTGTAACAAGTAATAGTTAGAAAATAACTTTATAATTATCTCATAGAGAGGTATGAGTAGGCATTTAGGTTTTTGCAATGAAACTTTTTGTGTGCCATTATTTCCAATTTTGTGCCATTTATTTAAAAAATTAAAACTATAAATAAATCAAACTTCTTTTTTTACTTCCAGATCGAATGCAGTATTCATAAGTGCACTTTATCTGATACGGCAAACGAATCAAATAATGTTGACAGTAAAAAGTAAATGCGAATAGAAAACTAAAATATACGTTAGTGGAATTGTATCTTTATTTCAACAGCAAAACTTATTTAATTTAAAGTAATCCATTATATGAATCCAAAACCCATTAAATTATTGATATAATATGGAATATGAATAAATTAAAAGAAGAAGTATTTGAACGAAATAAATGTATATATGTATACATAAAAGTATTTAATTTCCTAACGATTAGAGTCAGAAGAATATTAGTGTAACTTTATTTAAAGATATAATACGAAGACGCGCTTTTGCTGCAGAATTATTTGGTAAAAATGATAAGAAGCAGTCAAGAGTCTAAATACTAATACTAAATATAAAGAGGTTTTTTAAAGCATTCAGATATCATTAATATAGTTGTGTTATTTATCTTCCGCGAAAATATATAATAAAAACTGTTTTACTAAATAATATATTTCTCAGAATTATTTCTTACGAAAGACTTAAAAGTTATTTAACTTTCTGGTGTATGCCAGAGAGAGAAACTGAAAAAGTGGGGCATTTCTATTTTTCCGTTTTTGTTAAGCTTAATTTGGACTGATTCAACCCACTACACTACACTTCGACAAGAGGCCGGGTTTAACGTAAATAAGATTTGTAGAAAAAATATTTAGTACCACGTAAGTGGGCCAATTTTGCATTCTAGCTCTTTTATGAGTATCTCTGCCAAAGCTTAACGAGTAGTGGGGACCAATTTTCGTTCATACATGCTGTGTCAGAATATTTAAACTAAATTAAGTTTGCTTTAAAATACAAGCAATTTTAATTTTAATTATGGAATACGACTTCAGTTATTAAGCGTCCTGACTAATTTCAGATAAACTGTATTTAAACAGTTGTTGAATTGTGAAAAAAGCTTTTTTATTTTATAAAAACACTCGAACTCTTGGCATGACGTTTGGAAGATCATTTGTTGTTACACAATTATTTCTATAGTTAAAATATTGCTGGCATGACAGTTATCCACTAAACGTAGTACGTATATGTACATATGTACATGCTTGTTTTCCAAAAATTGTTAAATTATGCGAATAATAACTCGTTATAATCCTAAACATATCCCTGCAGTTTGCATTTCATTAACCTCTTGCTCAGTAATTATAACAAATATAAAATCTTTCGCTCTCTATTTCTACTATGGTACTGTGATTAAGTGTTTTAAATAAACCCTTACCCACACAAGAAAGCACCTTGAGAGTAACAAACTGTCGTATTCTGCGATCCCTTTCAGTTACAGGCCGAAATATGCTATTTTCGAATTAACAAAAAATTCGAATAAATACTCGTATACATTTTTATAAAAATAAATTACAATGTAGTGGTAAAAAAAATCCACAATTTATAAAAATAAACATTATTATTAGTGATTGAAGCCTGAACGGAACTCTGTTGTTTATTTGCGCTTAACTGTTATCATTTCGACTCTTTATTCTTTCAAAGGGAGGAAAGTACGTTTAAAAAGTTTAACTACTAAAATATAGTTTATAAAAATCATTAATATGAAACTCAGTGAATTGCAGTTCATGAGATGTTAGGAGGTATCCATGATATTGGTTTTACAGTCAGAGAGCTAGTGTTATATGCGGGCGGGCCTCTCCGTTTTTGCCCAATGGGGGTGGCTATAACTGTTAAGTTTACGAGTACAAAGCATTTAAGAGTAGTAAATACAGAGATGAGGGTATGTTGCTCTGTTATTATATTGTTGCTGTTAATAAAAATCGATTCCTCGGACATAGAAGAAACGAATTGAGTACCACATAATCACTACAGCATTGCGCTAGCAAGCAGAAAAATTGTGGCAGTCGATTTTAGCTATTCGTTGCTGAAAGCCAAAACCAAAATCAACTCGACCGTTACGTACGAAGCACGAAAATCGAACACCACCACTACCAAGCGACCGAGGATGATGACCCACTTTTCGGAATTTTCTCATTAAGAAATAGCAATCTTGGTGTTAGGTTCAGAAAGAATTTAGCGTTAAAATAAATGTGTAAATATTTGTGTATATATATAAAAGTGAAGCGCAAACATATGCTTTATAATTAATAGCAGTTAAATAAGCTAACATCAAAAATAAAAGCAAATGTGGAGGTAAAACCACATTAGATGCAGTAGAGGAGTACACATTGGAAAATCTGCAGGCATAAAAATTCGCTCTATACTACAAAATCACCCCTGAACTCCGCAATCCAGCGCGCAGCAGTAGGCGTAACAGCAAAAAATGTGGAGCGCCAATGGAGCACCAGCGGAGCGCTAGCAGAGCCTATACAGAAAACTGCTGGCACGAAGTTGTATAAAAATCGGTCACAATGCTTCTTTCATGGTTGCGCGAGTGAAAATGTGCTAAAAATGTGCTTTCTGCAAAATATTGAATGAAATGGGCTAGAAGTGTAAAAATTATGTAGATAGAAAGAAAAGTGTAACAATTGCGTAAATGTATAAATCTATAAATTGGCCGGGTGGTAGAGTTAAATTTTTTTCGAAAACAAAGTATCCGACGATGTTGACGATTAAAGTGGAAAAATAGATACTTGAGTTATTAGCTCTGGATGAAAAAATAAGCATTCAAAGAAGGTGTGAAAAAATTGTAAAACATAAAATACATACATATACATATTTATATATTTGCATTTATACCCATTGAAATGCATTTATGAAAAATATCTATATTCCACCGGAATGCAAATGTAAACGAGTAATCAGCATCATACAAATACCACGGAGTATAATGAATTAGTAAAAAAATTACATATTTTCTAATTTGGGGCACCACTCATTCGTGTGTAATTATAATAAAGGGACAAATAATAATTATAATAAAAGCACTACACCTAATTGAAATATATAAAAAATATTATTGAATTTGCAAATAGTTAAAAATATCACCAATAAAAATTCAACTCGCAAGTAAACGTGCAACTACATATGTAAGGAGTAGGTACGAAGGAGAGTTTAACTTTCCAACGCCAAAAAAGCATATCGACACGGTAACGTGCAGGAAGTGGTAGTGAAGGGTCAGCAGGTGGCACATTTTAAAGAGTGACAAATACACACACACATACACATCCACGCAGACAAGAGCGCAAGGAGACGTGCAGTTGGAGGACAAGCACGTAAGCGACGGCAAAGGTGTTCTACTTGATTGCGTTGACGTTCGCACGCTCACACAATCACACGCGCCACCACGCTCGTAGGCACATTTTATCATTGCATGTGCTCGTACACTATCGGCTTCGCCGTTATAGTACTGGTTCATTGCCTGTCGGTTGACTGGCGAAATTTATTGTTGCTTGCTAAAGCAAATCGCATAAATGATTTCATACGGCCAGCAACGGATGGAGCAACAACAAAGAAATCAACCGAACTTACGGCAACAGCAAGAAGGTAACAAAATTAGGGAGAACGTTAAAACTACCAAGAACAAAAGGACCAACAACAACAATCCCAACACATATAACTAAAACAAAGCAAAATTTCACAACTGCAAAATCGTAAAAATGTAAGTCGACTCACACATCAATATATCAATGTAAATTATAGCATTTATTGAAAATTACTCCTCTCCCCTCTACTTTGAAACGCGACGTACCAAACTCGCAACAAATTATTAAATACTTTTTTATTTGCTTTGTTAACATACTGTGGCAAAGGTTTGCGTGCTTGTTGGCTTTTCTAAAGTAGCGAGTGTTGCAAGCAAATAGTCCTCATCCCCTTGAATTATCAAATGAAAAATCAAATTAAAAAGAGAAAACTTAAAATTTACACTTTGTGTTCATTCGAGGTAATAACTGTGTGCATATCTACCCTTGCGCCCATTCCTGTGCACAATTGAAAGCACATATGCATGCCACATACTTGTACACGCACAAGCGCATACTCACTCACATACATGCACAGATGTTGTTATCTCTGACTTGCTAGTAAGACCGAAAGCTTATAAATCGTTTTAGAGACACGATTACAACAATGATTTTACTTTTCCTATCTGATACACAAGTGTTGGCTATTTTCTCATTGAAAGCATTGCAACTGCTTTGACGTTGTCAACTCGCTGCTCTTGCGATACTCATACGCCAAGTGCCTTCCCTCCCACATCCAGTTGGTATCTGCACTGTTAAGTTAACAGCAAAAAAGCGTGAGCATAAATGAGAATATGAATAGGTGTGAGTGAAGAATTGCTGAGAGGGTGTTAGATAGTGGGTAAGTGAGGTGGGTTCTGAAACCACCCTCATATGAAAGCGTGACAGCGAGTAAAGCAATTTATGTTGAACTAAGTGTTTATAGTTGCTTGCTTGTGTGGTTTTGTCTCTGGGTATTTTATCATGTCAAGATAGTGCTTCCGAGTGATTTAATATGAGTTTTTAACAACTTTTATCATACTTGTTTACGCTGTTTTATAATGTTTTAGTTTGAAATTCATTATGAATTTAATTAACAATTCGATGCAACCTTGGTTCTTTTGTAACTCGGTTATAAAGATTGCAACTATGTATGTATGTAATATATAAAATACATTGAAGAAATAATACTTAAGTAAATTGGTTTCAAAAAATATAGCGAAGTACAAGTCCGAACACAATAAAACTACATAATAAATATAAAAATGTACACAAAGATGTTTTTTAAATTCAATAAAACGGACAAAAAGTACTTTGAAGAGGGTAAAATATCACCGGCTGCTGCTTTGAATTCAGTTCTAAGCGAACCATATGGGTATATGACTCAGCTTTGTTAATACATACGTAACATTTGTGTTCAAACTTTATATTCCTCTCCAGCAATTAAAATTTTTAAAAATTATATTTTGAAAACAGACCATGTAATACATTTTCTGTAAATCCCTATATCAAAAGATTATACTAATTCTATGGCCCGGTTGTGTATGTGTTTATGCGCGGCATTGTATTAATAGAAAATATGGTTAAATTGAAGCTTTGTGCGTGACTCGCCAATGGCTTTATGCATAATTAGCTGTTAACCCTTCCAACACGCAACGCAGAACGTTACACAATGGAGTAGCTTAAAGAAAATTATCTGCTTTCATTTGGGTATATGTGTATATACAAGTATTATGTTAAAAGGCATATGCAGCAATGTTTAAAATAAATGCGGTGACAATACATTTTAGAAGGAATGAGTGGAACATTATGCACAATGCCAATGAGTTCAAACAAAGCTCGGCTTCTTCTTTCAAATTATACTGAATAATTTTCATGCATCTGAACCAAAAGGTACACACCATCAACCGTTCGGAAGCAGCATACAACTAGAAAGGCCTTTCATTTATGGGACAACGCAAAGAAGCTCTGTTAATAATATAATAAACTTGCTTAAAGCAGATGTTAAATGGTTGGAAAGATCACTAAGTATGTGGATTAAGTATCACTTAACATATAACGATTTGTCTTATTTCAACAGTACATAAAGTATGCAGTACTGCTATCAATTTAGATTTATCGGCTGATTCTACTGTTTTTCCATAATAATATGAGGTTTATGGTTCTTTATATGTGTATTGTTTATATATATTTGTGTTCAGTTACCTCGATAACCGCATCTGCCGAGAAATTAGGTTAATAGTTTTGTCTTTTATTCTCCTACTTTTCATCCTAGTGCCAAAAGAGCGCTGAGCTAAACAGTTCTTTGCCCTTTAAAAGCTCGACTGTCAGGTAAGCAGTAAGGTTATTCATTTGCTACGGTTACACTTTGTGGTTACACTTGCGGCAAAACTATCGTAAGCGCTAAGTATAAAATATATTAGATGTGAATTATCAAAAAGACAGCAAGAGTAATACTAAAAATAGTAACAAAAATATATATGTACCATACATTAACTATCGCAGCAAATCATTCAATCCATTTCGCATTTTGTATTTTCACTCAGTCCTTTCTCTTCATTCTCTGATATGAGTGGGCTGTATATTCTACCCCTTACCCTCTTGACAATTGGAACTGTCAGATAGTTGTACGAATGACAACGAGAGGCGCACAGCATGCACATCAACCACTCCGTATAATCGAAGGAATCAGTAAATAGTGGAAAGGTGACAGTGCCAAGGCAAAAATGGTCGCCGGTGGTGTCGACATCGACGGCAGCAACGTCAACTGAAGAGCAAGCAGATGATGAGAACTATATGCTTAATAGGTCACATTGTTGTTGATTTTTTTTGGAGCTGAAGTGTAGATAAGATAAAGAGTGTGAAGCAGACGCATAGAGAGTCAAATGGAATCGAATAAGTACATAGGACAAGTAAAGGGAAGCGGTAGTAAAAAGTTGGAATGGAAGTATATGAAGAGCTAATACCTATTTAAATATTTCATTAAAGTTCAATATTTAATTATATATGTGGTTGAATGACTTAAAGTATGCGTTCACATATATACACATACAAAGTAAGGGGCAACATCAGATGGCAGAGTTAAACGGAAAGAAATGATCCCTATAGGAATAAGAAATTTGAATAGCTTGTGTACGTGACGTCTATGACCGGTGATTTCCATATGACGGTATAATAATTTATTAGACGGTTTTTCATGACATACGGACGATTCACGTTAATGCTTTTATAATTTTTATATTTTACATCGGACGTGATATTAATCTACTCTTATTTATGGTAGTCGATTTCCGAATTCTAGAATACAAGTACTTATGTACCATACATATACATATATTATTTCCTTGTAAATTTTGTCAATACTTTTTTATTTTTTGTTCTGCAATAAATTACCAAAACTGAATCACATCGAAACTTCATATTGCCTTTTCCTGCAGTGTGCACATGTAGGTGCTTCATTAGCACACATTTGTTTTTTGAATAAAATAGTACCTTGAGAAATCTCCACTAGTGATTTTTGAAAACTTGACGTCCCTTGTCCTTTCACATGTTTGTCCGCGCTTTTTGCATTAACGTTGACATACAGAGTGGATACAGTCAAACCGGCACTTTTACACAAGGCATTTCAATGGAGAAGAATACTAATTACAACACGACTTAAGTGCATACTAGTGTTGCATCGTATAACGTAAAAGCACAAAGGCAATGACATAGACTAGGGAGAGAAAACGGTAGAACCAACAAAATATTATATAAGTGTCAAACAAGAAGGGAAGAAGGGAATGAGAAGGACAGCACGAAAAAAATGTAGGTTTTTAGTGAGGCAAAGCTTTAATGCTTAAATAAAATATATTAATATTTAATGTTAACACGGCACGTCGGCTCCTTTGCCGCTGTGCTCATAGCATTTTAAGAATTGTGTCAAGTAGACAGGTCAGCAAATCTGTCAAGCAGATCATAAGCCTTCGTTTTAAGGTTTGGCTAATAGGGGAACTGTGGATTTATTATTAATTAGAATTAAATGACATATGATAAGTTGACTTCTAGGTTGAACTTCAGTACAGCTGTTGGACTTGTGTTGAAGCCAGGACCCCCAATGGCAACCAAAGGGATCTTGTGTGTGTTTCAGTTACGACCTCTTCTTTCTGCTGAAATATTTTATCATCAACTGACAATATGATATGGCAGTGAACTGTTTTCCAACCCAATTTGCAAAAATTTTTGCAATCTCTTAAATAAAAATAGAGATTTTCTTTTGGCTCTGATTACACGCTCTTGATTTCCAAAATTTTCCAATATTTGTAAACAGAAAAAATTTCATTGGGGTACTAAATCTGAAGAATGTTATGATTTTACAATTTGCTGTTTCCACTTGAATGGATATTTAGGCAGATAGAGATTAAATAATTTGAAATAAACACAAGCAAACGCCTTTGTCTTATTTGGTCAACACATGCATAATACAGTGAAGTATATTGACAGGAAATTTATTGATCCAGCATTACAGAATGCTTAGCTTTAATAAATTATCTTGGCTTCAAGATGATGGTGCTTATAGGTGCTTTTTCTGACATTTATATTCAAAACCTTATATTGGAAAGAAAATACTTTAAAAATAAAGTTCTCAATTAACAGGTTTTATCTCATCTATATTATATTCCCTATTATAATATAAAAAAGGCTTACTTTTGATATTTGTTGGAAAATTATTACAGCTAGCGTTCTTTATCACCTTCCCGCTTTTGGTGCTTTTCTGAGTGTACTAATTATTAAAATTGTAATATTTGGACCATAAATCTGTTCATACTTACACAATACAAATGGATAATGAGGGAAACGTTTGCACTTATTCAAAATATAAAGTATGTAGGGAACACCACAATACTGTCGTGAATGTCTAACGATACCGCCAAGATACTTCACGGCGCATAGCCAGCATGGTCGTAACCCCACCATCGACATTTCAAACATTGCATTGCTTCTGATATCTAAGTATAGCCGACGTTGGCTTCGAGATGGATATATTGTGCTTGGCGGATGCAAGTGCGGCCAATGCATTGCAGGTGCAGATGTTGCAGGAACAGGTCGTGCCTTGTACCGCTAATAGCAATTTTCCTGCTCGTTTTGTGTTTGATATTGTTGTTGCTTTCGGTGTCATATA